TGTACGAGCCTGTAAAACACGGGAGCGCAAACAAATGAAGAACGCGCAAGACGCAGATAACGAAAAGAGTGATGAAACTTCACGCTGCAGAACACATGCCTGCAACCAAATGGTTGAATGATGTGAGAACAACGGATTCAACATTCCAGAGCGCACGATTCCAAAATTAAAGCGACTGTCGGAAAGAGTGGACCACCGCTATTTTGAAGAGCAACAAACTTTCTCTATCCTCACTGACTACCATTCTCCGTTTTACTTTGAATGGTACCCGATCCTACGAGATAGGAAATGGAGGGATTTAGAAAGGCAATAGGGTATCCGGTATGATGACTGAGCTGTTGAGATAGTCACGCTTTCAGTTAGTTTGTAGTGGTGGGGTTCCTACTAAGGCAACATCTTGCCCGCAGTACCCACCCCCCAAAAATGCACGCAGCCAATAACTCACTCGCATGCATTCGAGGGTAGGCGAGAATCCGTACGGGTATTCGAGCTGACATACTTAGCCTGATCTCGTCCTGAAGGCCTGTTGCAACCATGTAAAGTGGTACATCAAAAAGAGTTCACCACGCGCTTCGACCATTCCAATCCAGGTTGCCGTGACATATCTCGTCAATCCAGCCAGCTGCACTTTTCCGCGTAGTGATAGCGTGGCAGCATAAGGGAAGCAAAATAGGAACAACTGTGTCACCAGGGTTGAACATTAGGATCGACGATCTTGAGACTTTGCCTGGACACGGATACTAGGAGTTCTGGCTTGTTTCTGCTTTGCCTGGGCACGGATACTAGGAGTTCTGGCTTGTTTCTGTGCTGAAATGAGCCTGGATCTCAAGTTCACGCTTCTCACCGTGTCCTTCCCGTTCACTCATCGGTATATCGTCAATTCTGATGTTTTCAGATACTTTTAGACTGGTTTACTCGAACACCGGTGACTAAATTGGGCGTCAGTTCAAACACGTGCACGAAAGGTTAGAACTTCTATCACTTTCGATAATATATATGGGTGCAGTTCGTTTTACACTGCACTGGTTTGGTGAACATGGCTTCGTGCGCTTTAGGACTCTAAGATGTAGCCGTTGTTCTGCTCGATAAGCCAGGCAATTTGGTTGCAAGGGATTCGACATCAATCGACACCGAGTCGTTGTCTGGCAGTATGTCCGTGTGTGTGCAGCCGAATTCCTCAGCTTTGCGAACAGAACAACACCCATTTGCACAACATGAGATACCGAAATCCATCCACTCAGTAGTACAACTGATGTGTTTATGACACATTAGCAACTGTCTGCATTGCAATATCAGGTGAACACTGTGCACGCTAGGATACGTCGTTCTATTTGGAGTGGGCACGTGTTCAGTTCAGCATACATGAAATTTGACCTTGTATGCTTTCGTTTAGCCGCAGCATCCTGCCGGTGCCTAACTGCCATGCCACCAGAAGGAAGAACGAGGACTGGGATACTGCCGGGTTGCCCAAGCCTAGACGGGGGAAGTCGAGAGGCAGAGGTCGGGTTCGAACCACGGACTTTCCGGTCAGTGAATTCGCACTCTAACCGCCGAGCCATCTCGCCCCGGAATACCTTGCTGTAAGTCAATGACTACAGGCAATATAAGTAGGTCGCTAGGTACCATGAGAACTGCGGGAGACACAGGAGTTCAACTATGGCCAACGTTCCGGTAAGGACGCGTGCATCAGGCTATAGTTCGGTCTGTGTTGTACGGCTACGAGTCTTAGCCACTTCGGATGAAGGATCTCAGAAATCCTCAGATCTTTAGCCACTGATGTCTGTGGACCATAACTGAAATCGGCTGGAAATAGGAAATTCGCGATGAGGTCATTGGGTTTCTGCTCAAGCGGATGGTACTTTACTCAAAGAATACATCCCACAATGCAAGTTAGAGTAGCTGGGGCATTTGATATGCATGTCGAATTGCCGTCTACCGGTTAGAGCGTTACTTTCCGTGTCTATTTCATAGGGGCTGTAACCTCCCCAAACATCAAGCAGGGGTTGAGAGTCACATAATTGGCGTTCTGTTCACTTCACGTATAAAAGTGCTATAGACCTGTGGCTTCAAGTAATGGGATCATATTATTCGAGTCCGGCAAACTACCAAATATAAACCCTTCTGTAGTTTTTATTGGACTAGGAAAGAAACCACTGGAAAAATATGCTGGAAAGCGCTATTGGAAAATATGTCAGGTGCTACGGGGCTGGATAACCTTCCCTGATGTTACAGGTGTATTTTAACCCAGAAGGGAAAGCTTCCATACATCTACCTCTATATCTCTATAGAAATGCATGATCCAAAGGCATGTGAAGCAGTTCATGCCCACGTGGGAGTCAAACGACTTTCAGACGAGCAAATCACATCCAATTAGAGTGAAAACTGCCATTAGCTACTAAAGCCACCACAAAAGTCCTGGAACTTCTAGAGGAATCGCTCACACATGGGGAGCAAACATATCTTCCGCAAGCACGGAATGAAACACCGATTATCAAGTGAGAACTAGCAGGTCAGCTGACCTACATCCTTTTCTCGCATCCACTTTATTTCTGGGTCGGGAAACAGGTGAGACAGTTCCACTCACTTACATCAGCGTTTTCTAAGCCATAACTAACGAACGATGAAAATAACGATCCACTGTCGATTAACGAAACAGGTGATAAGTTCCGTTGGTTGTCGCGGCTTTATTCGTTCTAATACGCTACTAAAAGGTACTGTAAGTACTGTAAGACAGATGCCATCAGCCAACTGATGTCTACTGAAAGAATCATTCAGCTGTAACACCCTTCCGGTGCCTAGCTGCCATGCCACCCGAAAGAAGCACGAGGGATGGGATACTGTCAGGATGCACAAGCCTAGACAGGGAAGTCAAGAGGCAGAGGCGCGTTTAACCACGAATCTTCTAGTCAGTAAATTCACGCTCTAGCCACTGAGTCATCTCGGCCCCTTGATGTCTACTCCCAGTCAATGAAACCCCGTTTGTGTTATAAGTAGATGTGTTTTCCATGGCACGCTGTCATGTCCTTTTCTGAGAGAGCGATATTGGGACCTTCTTCGTTTCTGTTATCCTAATGAAAATATGAGTTGTTCAATACGCACACCCCATGACTGCATTTGTGGCAGACAAATGTGGAATGGGTTCGACCTCTGAGTTGTACACTTAAAGCAGGAACATGAATATAGAAAGTGGGATGAACGGTTTTTGATGTGGTTGGTAGGCAGTCCTTCCAGTCTTCAGTGTCAGTGCGAGTCTTTTGCACACGGATACACGAAGCGAAAGTAAGCAAAACACATGAGGACGCACTAAATAACACCTGAAAACGATGTAGTATTGTATATATGGTACAACAGTACAAAGTATATGAAAAAAGGATCTAAGATGACAACAACAAAAAACAACGTTCAACTTGGGATCCAAAGCAGGGCCTCTACAAGGGGCGATCCTCCTTGGTTAGAGCGGTGGACATAAAGTGAACAGCCAGTATGCTGTCTCGTGGCCTTCACTACACATGAAATGTACCATAGGAAAAAGCATAGGGTCTATACAGCGATGGCCACAGAAGGTCACTTCTGGCCCTGTCGTAGGTTCAACGGTACGGAATATCCAGGTCATTAAGACGGAGCTTTAATGAAATGGATGAAAACAGCTGAACAGTTGAACCCAATGGTATGCGATACGGAGACTGGGGGCTAAATTACTGATAAGCCACAATCGTGGTGCTCTTTCACTGGCCATGATTTGACTTGATTCCTTTCACCTGGTGATGATAACAGTATATCACAACGCGGATTTAGTACACCGAACCGCTCAGTGGGCTAAGGAATTTTCAAGTTTCCATCTATGCGGCGAGGGTCATGGAAAGTCATTTCCAGCATCGTCGAAAACTTAGCTATCTGATAACCCCATCGAGGGCTGATGAACTTACTTTATACGCCGACTATCCCACTGTGACTAGCCCAAACACGACCACAGTTACCACAGATGCAGTTTGTTTGATCACCGCGTCAAGAGTCTTTCCTAAAGATATGTTCGCAACTGGCACGCTTCAACCCTCTTGCTCGAATTTGGCGATCGGTTAACTGACGAATCCAAGTTTGTATGGTTTCTCTTCCTGTCCTCCAACTTCGCGGGATTCAAATCGACAACTTTTTAGATTTCCAACCAAAGTATTCAGATATGGAAGCTTTGGTTTTCCAGATTCCTTTTTGGTTGATTACAGTTGGGAACCATTTTCCTTTCGATTTAGCAGGAATTTGTCTCCGTTGGAGAACCTCACTACCCGGCACCGGTTCGGCCCAGTGACCACCCGGTATCCGGCTCCCGCGTTGCTCAAGCATCCAAGGTTATGCGAGTATATCTTCGGCGTTTTGGTGCGGCTGGTTTCTAGTCACAGACTCTGGTTCATCTGCGCCAGGTTCTCGAGTTTACTATAAGCTATACCACCCGTGGAACACTATTGACCGTTAACTCAGTGCGCTTGAGAGAGAGCATAAGTTCATATACGCTGCTCAAATCTTGACGCGTGGAAGACATTTGGAGTATCCAGCTAACACAGGTCGGTATAAAACGAAAGCATTCCTCGCGCTGATGCTCAGGCCAAAGTGCACAGTTGCAGTCGTTAGGCGCTGCAGTTCATCAAGCGCTTGTCCGAACAATACGTAAGCGTTCGCGAAAATGAGAATGCGGACCTTGGGCTGGTGTACCAGACTCTTAATCACAAAACGTTTAATATCACACAGATACTCAAAAGGCACACGAGCATCGCCGTCCACGAAATTCGAATCTACAGGGGTGCGCCTTTGTCCCCCTCTCTCTCTACAAGACATAGTAAAATCGTTAACAGACATTCGATATGTAGACTGAAAGCTCAACGTACACCACTTGTCTAGTTAACAATCACGGTGGCGTTTGTTGGTCGCTGTGCATTGAGATATGACGCAGGTTTGTGTACTCTTCGCAGCCACAAAACGACCACACCCATAGACAATTTGGTAGTAAAATGAAGGTCATGTGTTTGTCGGCCCTAGCTCAAGAGGCTGGTAACAGTAAGTTTTAGGCAGAATGATGCACACATAAGTGGGTTAACTTGCCCTGGCTTGCTCTACCGCTGAGTCTGTTAAAAATCCCTCTTTGCAGGATAGTCCAAACTTATGGGTTTTCCCAGTCTTGTAAGTAAGGATGGTGTGAGTATTTCAAGATGCAGCATGCAATGTTAGCTGGCAGATACATGCAGGGGCCCGCCTGAAACATGCTGGTGACTAATAGATCGATAATGTCGGATGGATAACGTTGTTCTAGGGTGCAACGTTGGAATAAGGCTGCATTGGTTGACGTCCAAGTATTAACCCACCGACAGCGGATTGATGCGTACAAGGAGTTGGCCGGTCATTAAAATAGCCATGTGATCACTCATTACTGAAATCAACTTCTTTCTTCAGACGATAGTGAAATAACTGAGGATTTTTAGTGGAAACCATAAGGCAAAAATGGGTGTTCCGAGCAGTGCGCGGCAAATGAATCAGGGTTGTTCCAGTTCCAAACTGTTTGCCTTTTTGATTTGGATTCGAATGACCATACAATGAATCATTGCTGAGTAATACAAACAACCTTTCATTCGGAGTCTTGTTTTGGGGTTCACAGAAGAAATATGAAACAAAAGAATCAGAATCAGATGGGCTGGCTGTATATGGTGTAAGAAGCAAGATAGATGTGAAATCTATTTAGGCAGACTTAAATGGCAGCAGCGGAGATCTGATAGATGGAAATTGAAATAAAGAGTATGAAAACTGGGATCTCATTTGCCACACTACTGGGACTGGACTGATTAAGGTCACAGAAGGATGAAATTTCGCAGTTTCTGTTTGTGGAAATTAAGTTGAAACCATGTACCTAACGCTGATCAGAGGTGAAGGACGGTGAGAGAGAAAGAGAGAGAAAAAGCGGAAACGTCTAGAGGAATGGCACCTTCCGTATTAGAGCAGTCAAGCTCCTCCGTATTATGTCCAAGAAATGAAGTGGGTACGGTTGGAAACATCCGACGCGTGGTACTTTGAATTGCAAGTGGAATAAGATTGCTTGCAACAAATAGGCAAGCAAGCGGGTTTTCGAAAACAGGTGGGCAAGAGGCCATAACGAAAGTGAAAATGTGAAGGAGAGTGCGCCAGAGCCAAGTGCAACCAATAGTGAGATCAACAGGATCAAAGAAAGACGCAGCACAGTAGTTGAAGTGTGAAATTTTATTACTGGGTGAAAGTCACACGTCACAAACCCCGCGAGTTACGGAGTGAACAAAACCGTTCAAGTTGATTTTACCCCATTTTCCATACAAAATTCTACCAAGAGATAATCACGGTTTTTGATTTTATTGCCAAGCTGCATAGGACCTCTGTTACTAACCTAGTTTGCTCTTCGCGTAACCAACCAATTGCACCATGGAGATTACTAACTGTGCACTGCCAAACCTATATATAAGAAGCAGAAAGGCTAGCTCCATAAGCATACGATCAAATTGTAAGTCCGCCATGCCTTGTGGCATGTGGAAATATCATATTCGAGCCTTCATATCAGTTCAGATGTGGACCATTTAAAATCGATGACCATAGGGATTCCATTGGAAATGGGCTTACTGGCGACTGGGGTTTCTGCACTTACATGACTTAAGTGATCACCATGACATAGCCTGAAAGGTGTTTCGCGTTCACCACAGTTGTTATTCCCGATATCTACCACGCTAATAAGAATTAGAAGATGAAGAAAAGGGGTAAAAAGGAAGGCTATGGCTCCCATAAACAGGGTAGCACCAACGGAACATGATTTTACCGTACACTGTTTCAGTCTTTTAGCGACAGTCCGATTAAATCAGTGGGGTGCCGTGGTAAGTGTTGGCAATCGAGTACCAGTGTCCACGAGGGCTACAGACCGAACCGCTGAGAAACGACTAAAGAAAGTCTAACGAAGCACACGATTGAGGCACGGATGATCATTAATACGTACAATCTCCCACCGAAGAACAATGAAACCCTGGGTTTAAGTCTTATCTTCTAAAAAAAACTATCAATAGGATGAAGGAAGCATCCTGGCTCGAAGCAGCCAACATCCACGACAAAATGTCACTTTGTAGTGCCTCCATGATGAACGAGAGCATCGTGAATCTACTAATTTGGAGAAGTTCCACCTGGTATGGGTTTCGAAAAGTTCGCTTAGTCATGATAAAAGCTTTGCGAAGAATTGGGAAACATTTTGCGGCAGAGAAAAAGAACAGGTAGCTACTGGGTAATAAACTACCGGTTGCGGTAAACTCCAAACGCACAAAGGACTTCTTGCTTCTCTAACTGTCAATATTCCCAGCGCGTTCGAAAAACTGCGTCCATTATTCCAGAATACATAAGTTTTGAATAGTTGACCAACTACGTCCGGACATGTTAAGGTGGCCAAGGTAAGGAGTTTCTAAAGAAAAACTTTGCACAACGGAGCAGCTTTATTATTTTATTATCAGACGATCAAACACAAGCTCGCAAATAAGTGAATTTACACTTTCTAACCGTAGTGTTGTCTACCGGTGATTACAGTTGACCTGAGTGGTATTTCAGATACCACTGGTCGTTACGCACCATGATTAATATGAATGATGATAATGATGATGGTGGCTGTTCCAAATTCCGAAAAAAAGCTGGAATATTTATGAAGAGAGGGTGACTATTCGCACTCCACCCAGTATAGCAGTATTATCTCCCCTTACTGTAATCCAAGCGTGGATGGGTTGAAAACCTAAGGATCAACACGAGTCACGTCGATGTGAACAGAGAAGTATCTCCACAGGAAAACCAGGATTCAGTCGCACGCGAATAAAACACTGCTAATATGCGAACCAGCTCAAATGAGACGCTGAGTAGGCTGGGAGAAAAACAACATAACCAAGCGCGACCTCACTGCAAACCGAGCAGAGTGGGCGTGGTTTTATCGGTCTTAGCGTACGGGAATAGTTGTCGTTTCCCGGATGGTCTTAAGGCTGTCAAAAGAGAAACGCATAGCGTTCTGTTGCCACGTGGATTACACGCAAATGCACCGGTGTTGATCGACAGGCACCACAAGATATGGGGACAAAGGCAAGAGGCACTCACGCACGTTGAAACCTACCTTTCCAGTACTTTCTGTTCTCTATAAATATGACAAGAAATGTTGGGTTCAAGCTTGGAAACCTGATTCAACAAACCTACAGGTACTTTTCTGTCGGAAAACAAGGGCGATGGGTTAGGAAATGCGAGAAAATTAAGGAGGTTGGCAATTGGGTTTGATATAGAGCGCTTGCAATAGTAGGAACGTCAGTCTCAATGGTGAAAAACCGAAATCCTTTCAGTTTTATCCAAGTTTTCATGTAATTCTAATCAACCTGAGGAATTCCATATTGCTTAGCGAACAAAATGAATGCGTACGTCAGAAACGCTATATGCTCAGAGTCCACTTGAACGTGAAACATTGTTCAAAACAACAACGTTACCAGACTCACTCTGGGCCATGGTGATCCGCAGAGAACGCAATCATTGCATCTTGAATGAAAACCTTGATATCCACTGTATCTTTGAACGACAGCTCGCTGTTTCGTTTCAGAATCACAGCAATCACCATGACCGTTTCCACAAAGAGAGATCGGTAAGCTGGGTCGCCGATTGGTCGGAGAAGCCACTCAACTTCATCGATGAAATTCAGGTCATACGCAGTCATGTCTGTCAGAGTCGGTTTCTGGTGAGCAAAAACACACAGCGGGTAGTACCGGTCGCTATTGGAAATATGCCGTAGGACATGGAAAACTATGGGGGGCGAGATGGCTCAAGTGGTTAGAGCGCGAATTTACTGACCGGAAGGTCCGTGATTCGAACCCGATCTCTGCCTCTCGACTTCCCCTGTCTAGACTTGGGCAACCTAGCAGTATCCCAGTCCTCGTGCTTCCTTCGGGTAGTATGGCAGCTAGGCGCCGGAAGGGCGTTACAGCTGAGCGATGGAAAACTATGGATAGGATATGTGCAAAGTTAACCCGGAACAAATCGAACCAAACAAGTATCGGGTACGTTGACAAAGACACCGGAAGCGATAATCTGGCACCAATCACTACTTACGCAAACGGGAAATGATGGAGGGTTTAGCAGAATATGCAGCCTGTCAGATCCCACGGTCAAGATAACGATTATGCACACCCATTGCCGCGCAACTGAATGGGGCAAAAAAATATCCGGACTATTGGAAAACTAAACTCTGCGGGCTGTGCCTGGCTGAACAAAGAGTTGAGATAACACCTGCACAAAAGCACGAGCAACATAATCCTAAGAAACTTCGTGCGGTGAAAGTAATATTCCCCGAAGTAGATTGGATGGCGATAGAAGCTACCGGCACCTCGGGTATGAGACTTTAACCATAAGAGACGTCAACACACGTGAACCACTGATGTTACCGTGTCATTCTCCACGGGCTTCAACAAAAATGGAACAGGCTCGGGACTAATGGGCCGTCACCAGTAGGCGATTCTCAACACCTAAAGCTCTTATCATCTATGCAAACAACGAAGGTATTCAAATGCAGTAGAAAGCTCGCAAGACTGATCTATCCGACCATAAGGTCGAATCGGCCAAATCGGGAGAAACAAGATTCACTTCACGAGCGCTGACGTTATCGTCCTGCTACAAGGGTTACGCGATAAAACCATGTTTTTTCGTACCTGCTAGTAAAATTCACCTCAATCATTAAGGTAGAAAACAGATAAAACATACATTGAGTATTTACTGGTCATAAAAGTGAAGCCATGTTTTTCAAAAAAAGCCCTTGTATTACGGCAGGAATGTGAGCTATCGAAATCTGCGTTGTCAGTTCTCCGTGACGCGTACGGGTGCTCTTGAGGAAACTAGAGGAGATAGTCGTCCATCAACTGCAGTATACAGTAGGGCCCTGACACTCGGCATTTGGGGACATTTGTGAAACCACCTTGAGCTTGTCAGTAAAATTCCAAGAAAATTCGAGAACCCCCGTTGACCAAACTAAGGAGTAATAGAAAGCGTCTCATGAGGTTGAAGGCCCTTCTCAAAGATACATAGCGTTCTGGAGTCACCAGTTCATTCTAACCATTCCATTCTGATTCGAAGACGCGGTATATATATATATATATATATATATATATATATATATATATATATAACATGAGCCAAAAGGCGCTGAGGTGGATATGTGCTATGTGTTGAAATTCGTTTAACTGGTTGAGACGTCTATCTGGAGTATGATTTCAGCGNATATATATATACATATATATATATAACATGAGCCAAAAGGAGCTGAGGTGGAAATGTGCTATGTGTTGAAATTCGTTTAACTGGTTGAGACGTCTATCTGGAGTATGATTTCAGCGATAGTAATCTGTCTTAAAGCTACCGAGTCCACCAGTGATAATTCAAGACTGCTGATCTATGAACCTACCTGTGAGAGTAGTTGGTTGCATATGAGAACCCCATGTGGGGACCGTTCCAAGATGTTATAAACCGCTTCATAAAACGTTGGCGGTACGCGACCAAGACATCCATCCAGTTGTCTTTGGAAAAGTGCATTTGAGACTCTCGGAGCACCTTGGTGTCCTTCGGTGGGCGTCGAGTCTCTGGGTCCTGGACTGCTAAATTCAGGCCTTCGTCGTAGGCGATGTCGTCGAAGTTTAGCACGTGAATCAAGCGCTAAAGAAAGCACTAAATAAAAGGAGATGTGTTTGCCATGCAGCTAAGATAAGTAGAAAAGAGAAGTTAAGGATAGCAACAGTGAACAGTAAACTAACAATAACAATGTCACCAAGTACCTGAAGGTTCCATAGCACTGTCCGTGGTTATACTAGAGTCCGTCAAGCTGGGTGACTGTGGACAGGACTGGCCAGCACGCAGAGTTCGAAACAGTAAATCCTTCACCATACACGGCGGCAGGCTATACAAATGGCAAGCTCCTAGACTACGTTGATTCAGATTCAAACTACGATCAGGATCCGAAATTGATGCGGTTGGGGTCGTGTCACCACTTGTGTCTTGGAAGCGGTCGAGCGTTTCTCTCTCTAATTGTAGCTTCATTGCCTCCAGAAGCCATCTAAATTTACAAGGTTAAATAAAATATAAGTCAAAACACTGACGGGAATGAGCCGTTCAAGCGTCAGCTGACGCAATTCAGACCATGATTGCCAACTTACCCTAGTCGAATAAATTTGATCCCGTTGAACAAATCCATGTCAGATGTGAGCAAGCTGCTGACCCATAAGATTAATTCCTGTTGCAACGAGAACTGAACGCGATCCACGGGATAAACAGTTTCGCGTAGCAATTTGTAAAGCTCATTTGGATTGAGTGGTTTGTTTACCACCACTTCGGGACCCTGTGCCACACCGACCGTGATCTGTTTGCCACAAACCAGGATGATGGACAAAGAAGGTGCCAGGCTATTGACAAACTGAGCGAGCAACGACGCACACAGGCGAACCACACACCTAAAGTAACCAAGTTCAATAGCAGCGTGTCACGGACGGAACAAGAAAGTCGACAGAGAAATCTCGCGGAATCAACGCTAAGAAACCTTCGCCAGTTCTTTCAGAGTTCCCTGTCTTTGGATTCGTCACCTTTTTTATGATTTTGTCCCCAGATTAGTCACTCTACTCCTCGGGAAGTCGTAACCTCAGTGAACTGTAGGTAAATTCGGTACAAATAGAATACTTCAAAGGCTTGATTACAGCCCTGGACTGTCGTGTCGACACACAAACAGCGTTTAAATTCTGCTTAGGCTAATCCAAATCTAGAATCCCCTCACTATTACTCGAGGATGAGCATGCATTGCAAACAATAACACAGCGACCGTGTTCTTCCTTTCGAATGCTACTCCTCTGAGTCATCGACTGCAACATTATGTAGAATTATTCATGACTATTCGCCCACCACTAACTAGTTTCACCGAAAACGCATTGTACGCGAGCGAAGACAGAGTCACAGAAATTGGCGGCTGAATTAACAGTGACAATTGAAAGATGTAAAAACAATGCAAGGGTTGGGAAGTGGTGCAAAATGAGAACAAATAAAGCAAGATGACCACACAGACTGCTATCTATATTTCTCTGGAGAGGTGCCCCAGCAGATCCCTGCAGAGCACTCAAAACAAGCATATTTCAGTAGTACGCAGAAATATGTATGTACCCAACACAAATCCTGACAATCTAGCCAGAAATTGACAGCACATTTGTCACGTGGCTTGGTTGTGTGCTACGTGCAAGGAAAACCAAACGGGCCCCAGTCAGGGGGAGTGGAAGGTATGGGCTATAGATGGAAATTTTTCATTGTTTTCACAGCGACTATCATAAAGAAAAAGCAGCGCTAAATGGGGTTGACAGGGTTGTCAAAGTTGGCTTGAAAGGGAACTAGAAGGAAAGGGGAGCCAAATGCTCAGATGTTCACTCAAACAATACCCTTGCAAGTCGGGCAAGATAGTGGGAATCACGAAAACAGGTGGATCGGGTGTCAGGGCGCGCCCAGACAGAAGAAAAAACACATGTGCAGAGAGTGACCCATCCCCAAGGTAACCATCGGTTCGACACGTCCGGAAAGTAGGTGAGTTGGCGGCGCCCACGAAACACGGCTTAGCAACACACGACCAGCGTAGTGGGCCTGAGGATGTTCACGACCGGAACACCACCATTAGCTGTACGGAACGAACAAGTGAACGACCACATTTGGCCAATTAGTCATCCTATATATTTACGCAGACCCTCTGTATGTTTTTGTCCTGGCAATACAACCGTGTCCCGAGTTCTCTGTCTTCTCCCTACCGCGTAGTCTGACAGGCTCAGCGCAGGCGTAACCCACAGACGGCCAACGCAAGATACAACATCGGGACATCACAGTTCGTCCGTCGTCAGGTCTGGAAACACTATCATGTTTCACTCATCAAGCCTATGTTGTAATTTATCCGGAATTCGTGATACGTTGGTCGTTTACCGAAACAACCAGGAGGGGAATCCGGTCATTGTTCGACGTGTGGCACACCACACAAATCATTCTAGGGTGATGTGTTCAACTCTCGATGCTGCCAGGAATGAGCCGTTGTGTCATGGCATTAAAAGAATTCAGCCCTTCCGCAGTGGAAAAACATGAGAGTATAGCATGTACTCAAGTACTGTTCACCGTGAAGACACAGGTTAATATCGGATGAAAATTACATAAAGTCGCTAAATAAAACCGTGAGCCAGGCTCTTAAAAAACCTCAAGATGCAAAGAACTCAATCGCATCAACATCTGTATCGGCACCCATTTATTGAATTTGATGTAGGTCGGCTATTAAGGTATCAGATGAGGATCCTGATCTAAGCTACTATGGCTAAGGTAACGCTTTCTTCGAAGTGTACGGTAGTCGTGCAACGAAAAGATGGTACAGACCAATGATTTGGATGTTTCCCGTTCATCGACGAACAAATTGACACTGGAATAGAAGTTGTGGGCAAACTCTCCAGTGCTTTAATGCCATACGAATGATTCAAAAACACGTATCATAGTGGTTGTCGAGAGCATAAGCAAAACTTTACGTATGACAACAGGCAAAACTGACCAAGCCTGCTGGATGCCTGCCAGACGGGACAAATCTGAGAGGCAATCACGGATGGAGAATCGTTTCTCTGGAGTAACTATGATATAATCCAAATCATGACGTTCCAGTAATTCCTGTAGCGCAGCAACGCGTTCAGCCAGTGCATAAGGTTCGTCTCCTGGATGACAGACACGTTCAACCAAGGCTTCCTCAGAATGGTCGTGAAAACGCTGAAAGACAGTGTATGCATTGAAAATCGATGGAACGGTATGGGAATTAGTCGACAATTGGCAGAATCTTAGCCAGATGAATAGGTAAACAGAAAATCCACGCCCAAATGCGCTTGGTCAGTTGCAAAACACAAGAGCTAAGCAACTTTCTTCTGAAAATACAAAGCTATAGAAAATATAAGAACCCCAAAGAGTATTGAGTGCATGGGCAGCAATAAGTTCGTTTCAGGACAGTTCCCCTGAAAGCCAACCTCTCATTGGAGCGGCGATATACGAAGTTTTGAGCCTAGAAACGTGAGCGAATGCCTTCCAGAAGTAAGCACTGAGACTAGTTGCCGAACCTTTCGCATAATGTTGATTCCACAGGTATTGCAAAAAAGACAACACACACAGCCCTTGAACCAGAATCTAACAGTTGGGAAGTCCTTGCACGTGATTTATCGAGAATCTAACCACACACGCACACACACAGAGTGGGCTGGCGCCCAATTTAGGATTTGCCTGTCCCAGAGAACTACGTCGACAGAGCCACGGGGATAGCAGATGATGTCACATGCCATTTGTGCTCAGCCGTGGGTGCGACCAACTGAACACATTCTACTCGGTGCACACTCGAGGGAGTAATATCACATAATGAAAAGAAGGGGCTTCAAGAGTCATCAGCATTTTCAACTTGTGGCCCATTATAATCAATTAGGTACAAGTGAAAAGCCAAGACGCACATAGAAATGACGGACAAGTATCGCGTCATGCGTGACGTTGCCAAAAGAAGATAGCTAATTTTGAAGATGCAAAAATCCACACAGCTACAGAGTTTCTTGTCAGTTGTGAGGTCATATACCAGTTGTTTGTCAACTCAAGTTGACGGGATGTTCCGAGGTCATTGTAGTAGGGAAGAATGATTCATTCGATCAACTGGGCGAACGTAGAACACGGGCAGGAAACCGCTTGGTAAGAGAATTAATTAACAACGCGGACTTTTCGATTTGGCAAATGATCTAAACGCTGCCAACTGCCCTAGGAAGACTGAACACCATATTTATTTTAAAAAAAAAAAACAGTTGACGTGAGTTCTCCCCTGAAATTATTTTCGCATGATTTGAAAATGTTGATCAATTTTCTTGTCTCAAGAAGCGAAGCCCTAACTCTAGGAGAATGATGTTTCAGGTTCCGAGACCTCTGTTCGTCTGGAGGGGATTATTGCAAAATATTAATTGGATGAGTTTGACGAATTGAGAAGGCTTGGCGATTAAGGCACGAAACTACTGATAGTAACGTACGTGATGCGAACCGAACCTCGGTTTTTCTATTGCTGCCGTCTATGCTTACGCAACTTGGAAGTATCGCAGCGCTTCTTTGGGTTGAATATCTGTGAGAATTTCACGAATTCCTTTTTTGAGTGTAAAATGCTGGCTTTCTAAATTTATGAGACATGCGAGTAGTACGTGATTTTCTCGTAACTTCGCCTCACGTTTAATGGAAGATGCACCTCATGGGGTTCATTACGAAACCTGTGGAACTGCTTTGCAGCGTTCGTTTACAATGGCGTCAATGAACATCCGCGAAAGTTGAACAAGACGCGTGAAGACGTTCATTTTTTTAAAATAAGGTGCATATGAGATGTTTATTTACCTGTCCAATAGTTTGTATCTGTTTAGTTAGTGTTTTCTGACAGGCGACCTCGCGGCGAAAGGCAATCCCCTCCTTACACCTGTAGTATACCGGATTGCGGAGCTTCAGCATCACTGGTCTCATCAGTACACATCCAACAATGTGCAGACTACTACCGACAGCTGATTTATTTTGTTCAAAAATTGGAACAGCTGGTTAATTTACTCGACCAGAGTTGTACACAAGGATGGAGAAATAGGTGTACAAAATTGACCGATCAAGTGCAAACTGCGTACCGTGTGATCCATTGCATGCATTACACGCACAACTTCCGCATCGGACATGACGTAGGCCGAGCCTGAGTTTCGCCCCTTCAACTGGCTCGAACAGGTTGCACTGACTTCTTTGGGAAGGTCGTCCAGGCTACGAAATGAACGTCCACTATCAACTTCACGCAGACGTTGAAAATAGTCCCCCGAAGCAGTCCACAAAGGCAGAAAATCCAAATGCTCCACACAACCGCTGGAGACAAATTTCTACAGACAGTGAGTAATTAGGACGACAGGCTATAGGTTGCAAAGCTTGGGAAATGTTTTCTTGTGGGAAACCGAAAATAAACCTCGAGACAAAATAGTTCTTTCTGTCTTGTATGTTTACCCAATAAATCACAAAACACGGACTGAAAGGACGGATAATCGATGTTCTGCGAATTAACCTAGCTGTGAACCAAGGAGTAAAAAGGTGACCTGATAATTCCGCTCACCTGTGCGCGGCCAAGAACTATGCGAATTCCGTGAACGTTACCATTTTTCATGCTGATCAAGAAACGCAGTAGTTGGTTGAATCCAGCAACTCTGAAATAACAAGCAAATGTATTAGGATTTATATGCCGGTGAGTTAAGTTATTCGAATGGAAACGACCGAAAACTGCGAATCCGGTTCATCTGCTCATGCGTAGAGGTAAATTTCGCCATTCGTATGCGCTTACAGCCTACAGACGGTTCATAAACGTCGTTTCTTTTTGTGTTCCTCGAAGTGGCCACCGTCTGTCCGAAATAACTGTGGTATATAAAACCTCAGTGGAGCAAATTGAAATTCAAATAGACGAATATGGAGTGTAGAAAGCAAGTAAATTGAAAAAAGGCTCAGAAAAAGACGGGTTATGAATCAGCCTGAGCTACTGATAGTCATACCACCTTTCTCACGCGAGTCATACCAAACGCTCAGATTTTGTGAAAACTTCTTCAGAACAATGGGTATGGGCGTTTTCGATAGCTGAACACGACGCGGGTAAATCAATCTCGTGTATTTCCTACCGTCTCCTCTGTGGAAACATGTGCATATCACGGGACTAGTTACACAATGTATAAAGGAGTTGAAAAACAATGACTTCAAGAATGTCTTGCTTTCTGCTGATTGGTCACGTTAATTTTGATCCCAGATAAATGACGCACCATTGTCACTTGGCCCGGTGTCAGCCATAACACAGTGGTCCCGTGCGGCAATCAAACTAAACGAATCTGTTCGGATCTTACACAGGACCTCTAGCGCGCCAATTCCTCGGTAGACGCACAATCCAAGCGGCCATAATCATGCAGCAACTACTACGTGGAGATTTGTCCGAGGTGACCTTGTGCGCTTATCTTGCGTATGCTCACAAACAACAAAAATCTAGGGGAAATCTGCACATATCGGAATAACTTTCGAACACTTCCATTGACGGAGCGCCACTTTCGACGTAATCACATACAAGTAGTTCGTAAAGTTAACGTGCAAACTGGAAATGTGAACTTGCCGACTGAAGAGATTGGATAGTTGAGGTGGGCAGCAAACCATTTGAAAAGGAAGGGAGCGGCTGAGGTCAAGTAATGCTTTTGTAAGGGTTTGAATTTAAGGATAACTGAATAGTGGACGTATTCGAATGACCCGCAGAGAATCGTGAAGCCCTGTAAAGTCTCATCAATAAATTGTAGTAGCAAATGCAAAAAGTTGTACAAAGTCGTACACCTCAAACTACGCATGCTTTCATCTAAACAATGGCGCGGAGTCGTGTAAGTCAAATGAAGGCCCCAAATGACCAAAATAGCTCTGCAGAAATGACAGACCGGGAGGAAACGGTAAGTCGGTTGGACTCAATGACAAACGTGCACACGAACGAGATACTCAGTTAGATTCTTTCGAGTCTTCCGTAAAAACCAACTCAGTTTATAAACGAATGTAGTCCGTGCATTGCGTATAAGTTGGTGTTCAAGTAAAAATGACCGAGGGAAAACCGGGGACTGTGCCCAAACTATGGGCTGTTGTGGACTCTCAAGAGGTTTTCAGCAAAAACCTGAGTTATACGTTCCGTGAAGAAAACATATCGCGATATCTCGAGTATCGTACCAGGTGCAACACGAGGCGTTCTGCACAGTCACAAACAAGATATTCGGCTGAATCCCCGTTAAAAGCAAATGAGGTTGCGAATAAGTCAGTTTTTGTTCGTCATTTTTTCCCGACTGTCAATCCCCGGCAGTTCAATATGCAGATGAACAAGCTCGCCTGAGTGGCTTATCCGTCGCTGAAGTGAATAAATGCCAAAAGATCCAAAAACACACCGGGAAAACCGAACTTCTCACCGTGACAGGTTAGCTGGAGCCGGTTCGGAGTGAAATAGCCATAAAAAGATAGGTAAAAATGAGCGAACTAGCGATTATGTCCATTCAAAAGTAAGCACTCCAATAGTTCATCATTTTACTTCAGTTCATCAAACAAGGAATGGATGCACTTGGAAGGCGCGTATTGACACTACGGAGTGCAGTTTTTGGAACCACAAAACTGTGCACGGTGAAATGCTTTGTTACGATCTTGTGATCGACCCCTAGAAGAGATAACCAGTAAACGTACATCGGATTATGACCAACAAAGGCACCGAAGGGTCGAACAAAAGTAACAACCGAACTTTTATGCTTACTCGTCGGGAGGAAACAGTTGAATGGTGGTGAACTTGTAAGAGACACAGTCACGCGTAATAAACGATAGGTGGAAGAAGGCAGGAATAAAAAGCGAAATTGGACAAAGACAGTAACAAAACGTGAGCCACTAGCTCCAAAAGGAGTAGGTGGATGAAGGAAAGGAAGACTTCCGATGGCACAAAACTATGCTTTCTCATAAGTTTGTTCTCAAATAGAGTGGAGGATTTCCATCAGATTTCTTAGACGAAATGGTCTCCACCAAACTGACTGGGCTTTTTAGACATACTCGAAGTCAGCAAAGTCTATTACTCCAATACCAGAATTTTATGGGCGAATTTCAGAGATATCGAAAGCCTGAGTATCGAACACGGTTCGAACTCGACATAATTAGCAATCACTTCAGCCGAGAAGTGCCTAACACAAAGAGGCTGGAAAACTTATGATAAAACAGGTAACTAAAATAGCTAAAAGCTTACTTAATGACTAACCAAAATGTGAAACGGAGGTCCATAGGCCGGAAACAAGAGGCAATTGCGATCGAGAGATGAATTGGATTACCTGTTCACATCTCATCAACCAGTCGAGTGGCAGTTTATTGTAAAACACTTTTGAAATTTCGCAACAATCTGCAGCAAAGCGATACGCCATCACTCTAACAAAGTTAGCTAGATCTCACAGGATTGATAAACACATGTCATTTCGGCACAGAGTGAAAAAGAACAATTTCCGGGCAGGTAAATAATGGGGGACCTAGCTCCAGTTGTCCGAAAGCAGGTCCGGTTTCACAACCTGCAATCAACGAAGTGAATATTCCGTGATCATTCACCGTTTGTTGGTGCAGGGTTCCCTGTGATACTTCAATCGCCTTGTAAGATAGCTCATATAATGAAACGGACGAAAAGTGTTCCTCAACGCACTTATTTCCATATGTTTTGCGAGATTGAATTTGAAAACTTATGGCTTTCATTATCGACAGAAAAATCGCAACTGTTAAGAATGAATAAGAAAGGGAACAGCTTGTGCTCTAGGCAAATGCTGTTTAGATCAGTATGTCGACAGCGATACTAGCTACGTGCAGGGCTTGCTCGGCGCTGTGAGATCTCGCGTTGTTCAGTCTGGTCACGTTGTCGAATGAATGAATTTGGGGTAAAAAGCATCTATTGGTTGCTTGCCGATTCATGGATTTACAGTCCTTTTTTGCAATTCTTCAAAGCTTGGGAGAGTGCCTTCGTGCTCTAACACACTTTCACATCACTTTGCACTTGGCATCTCCAGACTATAACCATGTAGAGGTCCTGTGGCTTCCGTAACTCCTCGTTAATGAAAACATTTCTACACCAGATGGCTGGGTTTAAAGAGCGAACTCACAGACCGAAAGGGCAGTGGTTCATATCTGAACCTGACACTTCGACTGCCACAGGCTTAAGGAACCGACCTCGACTTTCGTGGTTCCTTCGATTGCTATGACATCTGGTGTTATACGTGGGTGATTAGCTATAACTAAGAATTCTGCTGAGCTATTCGATCTATGAAGTGGTCACAGGCGACAACGAGTACACTATACACTACAGGTGTTACCAGTATATTATTCCAAACATACCTCACGTTATAGTACAGGCGTCGCTTAAAATTTTCCGATCCTATTGACCACTGAGTTGTTTGGACTTGCTTCAGTATCTATACAGAGTAAGGGGAGTTATGAATGTGTCCGTCGCGCTCACTATCTCGTGTATAGGCTGAAATACCTAGTTGCACGTAGCTCAACTCCAACGGGCCATGCGAAACCGAAAACATTCTGAAACTTGCCAGACAGATCCACATAAAAGCTGCTGCCATGCCACCTGAAGGTTGCACGAAGGCTGGGATACTATCAGGTTGCCGAAGCCTAGACAGGGAAAGTCGTAAGGCGGAGTTCGGGTTCGAACCAATGACCTTCCGGCCAGTAAATTCGCGCTCTAACCACTAGGCCCATCTCACCCCCGACAGATCTACATGTGGGGTCATCTCTGAATGTCGGGTGATAGATGGTCTCAACGATATTGAAAACTAGCGGATTTAACCCAATATGTGAGTGATCCAAAGGTAGTTTGAGGATCTGATTGGTGATATGAATAGGTCACGTCCCAGGAAGGAACTACGCGAATCTTCAAACAGTAAAAGAGTAGCTCGAAATCTGAAAGCCACACGGGAATTTTATTTCGATATTTCAAAAGCTAATCGGTTGCAGTACGAAGCTCATGGATAATAACGTTTCTGCTCAAAAAGAAATCCTAATGGCTACCATACTAACAGTCCACGACGCCCTTACCCTTACTGCAACGTTTACCTTCTTCAGTTCCCTGTCACCCCCGGTCTATTTTCTTAGTAATTAAACCAGATAAGGGATCGGACTCCTTTCTCTAAACGAAAAAGGTTGTGCCACACACCTCAACGCAGTTTTCAGCCCATATACCAAACGGTTTCACCGCACATGCAGTCTGACACAGAAGCACGTTATTCGTTATTGCATGAATTTGCCTCCCAGACGGTTATCGTAGACTGCGACCATGCTTCTAAGAACTATTAAACTCACGTACTTATTCGTAATCGTTAGCCAAACGGCTCGTAGATACCGTTGAGCTTATCCGAAGAATCCTTGGGAAATACAGCTTGGAAAGTAACTGTAAACTTCGAGGCCATCTTGAGCACGCTGACAGCCGCAAGACAATCATGTGTTTATTGGATGTGCAACCGCTGTTTGTCAATACTCCCCATCGAACACGTGAACTTTTTCAAACATTAATCTACCAATTTCGACTCTTAAGAACCGCATTTTACTGTTCTCTAGGAATATAAAATTTGCCTCCAAGGTGCCAGATACCAATGAACCGATTATGGGGATCATCATCATCATCGACAGCATGACATCAGTGTTCAACACTGATGCTTCGCTGCCGTATAACCATGATTTATTTGAAAGCCTTATTGTACAGAAAAGAATAAAGGTGGACGGGGAAGGGACTTCTGATAGCTTAACACAATCATCCCGAGGTGCCTATACCCCCAGACACTCACTCAGGCAATCTGGATAGAAACTGACAACAAGAACGCCACTGACATCGGTTGGCAGCCATATCTTGTAGTGTCTCCCACCAGGCACAGTGAGGATCACGCGGTCCCCATCCTGGAAGGCGAGTAGCACCGACAGCACCCAATTGTTTCGTGGTCTCCTTCATACTCCTCTGCCAAGTCAAGGGTTGGCCACCTCTCTGTTTACACCACTCTGAGTTGGGCATGAAAAACAGCACTCTCTTCGGCAAACGATGGTTCGGCATACGCAACACATGTCCCAACCAATGCAGCTTCTGGTGCTGGACACATTCTTCAATGGAAGTACCCGTTGCACAACCGACAACACGCTTTCTGACTGCCTGGTTACGGATTCGCCGACACCAACCCATGCGAGCTATCGCTCTGAGACAACGATTGTCGGACACCTGAAGACGTCTCATTTCCGCCGCTCGAATAGGCCAAGTCTCACAGCCATACAACAAAATAACCCGCACTGTAGCCTGACACATGTCCTTTGAGATTCAGGGATGGACCACTTTGACGTCATGTCTCAACTTAGCAAACGCGACCCGAGCCTTGCAGGTTCGTGATTGACCACACCTGTCACACTGCAATCAAAACTAATACAACTTCCAAGATACGTAAAACGATCCACAGCTACCAGTACTTCCCCTGGATTGCAAGTGGCGTGTTCAGTGACTACATGTCCAGGAGCACGACCTTCCACTTTGTGAGTGCAAAGTGCATGCCAAAGGATGGGGTGACTTTGGTCAGTTCATCCAAAAAAACCTGCAACTTCTCTTTAAAGAGGAGAACGATGTCGGCTGCATATTATAGACGGACAAGGTTTTTGTCTCAGGTTATTTGAACACCAGGGTTTTGGAGACCTTCCAGCATTTATTTCATTATCTCATCGATCACGAATTTATATAGGAATGGAGAGATTGGACATTACTGACGGACACCTTTTTGTGTACGGAATCTTTTGAAGAGCTCGCCGTACACTCTCACACGTCCGGAAGTCTGAGGATACAAAGAACCCAATATATTCACAAGCTTACGGGACATTCCTTGATGGGAAATTGGGGAATAGACCGGTCAACCGAGTCAAATGCACCTTGGAAATCCAGGAATACTAAATTGTGGGTCACTCAAACATATGGCGTTGTTCTAATGCCTGACGAGGTGCGGAGATTTGGTCAATACAACCCATACTAGGCTGGAATCCCGCTAGCTGCTCTCGAGTCAGTTTTTCAAGACTCGGTTTATTTGCGTACTTGGTGTAAAAGAATTGACACTCATTGCTATGTTGTTGTGTTTAAGCCCCAAGGTGGCTCTCAAAATATCTCTGCGCATTGCCTAGAAATAATAGTATTCCTTCGGGTTTAGATCGGTATCTGGGGAATCCACGTAGCATCCCATCAGTCTCGGTCTGGGTTTGTTGACCGGCAGATCCATTTCCAATCACAACCAATCAAAGGAGTAGGAAAGGGATGACTGTTATCTCAGCCGGGTTCAAACAGATAAATTAATGGAAAGTGAAATAAAACTTTGCGGGCTATCTTGGATTTGAACTCGGCCGTAACCTTAGTCACATACGGCGGTTAAATGAAGGAAGTCTTCTTTCTTGTTCCCTACATAAATCAACGCAGTAACGCTAGGTGCTTTTTACAGCAAAAAAAAAAAGATGCCGCTCGTCTCGGCATCCGGTTTGCGGTGCCAGCAACAATATCGGAAAATGAGAAGCCGATAATATCGCGTAAAGAGGACTGTGGCAGTACCAACCCAATCTACCACATAAACTAGCGGTCACTAAGCCTTTCGCTGTTATTCCGCAGAAGCTAACAAAATCAAAGCTGGATAAAATGGAAAGACCGAACACGTTCAGACCAACTCACTTTACCATATCCTCTTTGATTAGAAAGCAAAATGTTGGCCGTCCTCGGAGACGCCACCAGTCTGAGAGAAACCTGAAGTCAGTCTATAAAAACAGAAGATGGTCACATTAAACCCAAGTGTGACGAGACCATCGAGTACTATGAAACATCAATGACAGTTCGATGGATTATGGTACTAGTTCTCAACTGCGTGAGGGAAGGGATTCCTATTAATGGGGATGGGGGAGAATATAAAACCCTAAACCTCACAAATTTAGCACTAGCCGTAGGTTCTCTTTGTCTTGTGTTCGAATAACTTGAACCACTGTGCAGTCAGATTGGGCTTCTTATGCTTTTGAACTTTATCTCCTCGCGGCACTTCATAGGGTGGAACATATAGGCAGGTTGGTTTTGCATACAAGTCCAATACGTACACTGATCACACATCAAAAAATCTCTCTAACAACCGGACGCCTTTTTTTTACTACCTCACCTCCATCTTGATGTGGTCGACAGTATCATGATTAGCATCATGGACGGCAATACACCAGTGGTAAATACTGGCGTTTAACTGTCAAACCCAGCACGAGAGGACAGATGAGCATTACCTGGACTGCTCGACCAGAAGTCACTCGAACGATCGTTAGATCCGTTAGGCGTCAGGTTCTGTAGAAGACGTGCGAGGAGAAACACTCGGATCCTTTCCAGAAAGGTAGAGTTTTACTTACTTGAGGGACAATTCGTGAGTAACGAGGAGCTTATCCAAGTGTCCATTCGGAAGGGTACCTAAATCTTTCCAAAATGGCGTACCAGACAATTTTGCTGGGTTGAGGCGCCAAAGCAACGTTAGCTTGGAGAAAAATCATACAAGTTCAGCCCGTGACAAGTAGTCCACACACAAAAGTGTGTCAATACACCCGCATGTGCGCCGGGCTGTACAACGCTGTTACATGTAAAGGGAAAATTGGAGCTAAAATGACATGCATCATGCTCTTTGAAGCAGTATCGCCAGCTTACTGACAGTAACAACAGTGTGAGAACACTGCCGCTTAATCGCTACACAACCATGTCAATTTATTCAAATGCAGCACTGTTTCGTCTACTCCGGATTTGAAGAAGAGAGACCGACAATTTTCTCGCTAACTGACATCTCCATCAGACTGAATGAAAATGTTGTGCTTTCAGTCAGACGCTACACTTCAGAATTTTCACTGCGTCTGGGGAAGCCTGGTATGGTTGTAACCCAAATGTAGTGAGTTTAAATAACGGTTCGAAAAGTAGAGCCTTTTAATGATAGAACTAAAGAAATTGCTTTGCTTAGCTCACAAGAAACTAGGTAGTGAAGAAACTCCACATCCAAACGGACCATCTGAGTCGACCTATCAGGCAGGCAGTTCCTCCAAAAGAGAAATTATTTAGAATGTATCACTAACGCCAGGGAGTCTTTTGAACATGTTTTGGAGGGGATGCACGGGGTAACAAGGATTGACAGACGTTGCTTTAAGACGGACGTTATGGAGCAGAATCAACCACCATACAGTGAATATACAATAAACACACACAGTCTCACATCTGGGCAACACTCGCTTTCACACTACTTACTTTAACCTCATCAATCACCACCTTCATGTCGTGCAACAGGTAAAAATCCTGAGCTTCAAATAGGAGAGGATAGCAAAGCACAGTCAATCCGGAGATTCTGTAAGGGAAAGTATTCGAGATTCAAAATTAATTTCGTGGAAATAAGTTTAGACCACCAATACAAACAGTCCGGACAGACTATTGAAAAACCATAACTTTGTGAACTGCAACTTTTGGGCTGACAAGAAGGTGCAGGCCGCTCACGGAAATTGAGTTAAAGATGAGCTCCACCCGGCTCATCACCTACTGCTGTTGTACAAACTTCTACAAACGTCCCAAAGTTGAACGATTCGTAAGGATATTTTGGTAAGAAACTAAACAATGAGAGTTGACAAGGGCAATCCTGATGGCAATTTAAACCTAGGAAAAACAGGCCCATGAGATAGTTCTTAAAATGGATATGAAAACTGTGATCGCCAAGGGGAGTCTCCATTCAAAAACCCACTTTGTATGAGGGGCTGAGAAATAGGTTTATTGTACCAGAACGGTGGCTATTGCAACAGAGTAAGTACTATTGAGCTATAACTTCCAACGCTTAGAAAGTGCGAGAAATGTTTAAAAACCAACTGCATCGAGGAGAGGCTGCCCCCGAAACGAATCGCAAAGGCCTTCTCCGCCAGCCACAATTTGGTGTGCATCCGAAAACCGTTCACGAAGAGGCCAAATAAAGTCAGTACCCGTGATAGAACATTGTACCAATTAGTCACTTGGCCAATCACCGGCCCAAAAAACAACAGTATCGGTAGCTCTGCTAAACTACGTTGATGTGAATATTTTCAAGCTCAGTGGCGGTTAGGGTTGTTTCGTCTGAAATCTGTCTGTTCTCGATTGAACATGGAGCGAATGTTTGCAAAATTTTAGTACTTATAGTCAGTACGCTTAACACAGTTTCTACATGGTTTGGCTATTGATTTTGAGAGAACGAGAAAGCGTTTTTCATCATCCAAGGATGCAACACACATGAACAGGATGGTGAGTTCAATGCCAACCCTAAGAGTATTATCTTGAAGAATACTTGGGTTTTATCTAAAGATCTAATGACGGGACTCGGCTATATGTAACAGAAAAGCTGGAATATCGGAGGCATTTAGTCATTTCAGTTCATTGACCTGAGTGATAGGAAAGTGCTTTAGTGTTACGAAGAGTAAAGGTTCGTGCAAAATGGCACCAGTACAGCATGCTGAAAATTAACGTGGATCCTTGTTAAACTGTTTGCGGTAACTTGTGAACAAAAACCCTGAACGATTGTCTCCCCTCTTGACATGGGCCGACAGTCTAGTGACCTTACTTTCTCATTACCGTATAAGAAGTTGATTGTCGTATTCTCAGATTAAAAGGTGCTATGAACTTCGAATCGGAGGCGATATTTATCACTGCATATCTGGTCTAATGGACTTGCCACAACCAGTGGGTCGGCTTTGTCCCATTTGTATCACTGCTAGTCTCTGACTTAAAACAAACTTGCAAGCGTTGCACCATCTCAACCAGATACCCGTTCCACGTCTGAATTCATTTTCAAACTGGAATAATTCGTGTATACTAAGTTGTGTTGAAAGAGGATGTCTCAGCCATATTAGGTCACCACATCGGCCTTCTTGAGGACATGCCCAGATCTCCCGTCGACGGGCACTTGAATTCGTAAGCTTTAGTACCTTTGCATCACCTACCCCTGAGGTCTTCATTTGAACTATATGGCAGCCCTCTGATTCTTCGGGTCGCCAGGAAAACACGAAAAAGTAATAAGGTCTGGTGAAACGGTATCTGATACGAAAACATGGATACTCATCAATAATAGCTCTGTGGGAATACATGTGTCCATAGCTGAATGGTAACCATAGTAAGCAGAAAACAAGACCCTTCATACAAGCAGGATAACAAACATGCTTAACATAAAGGGCTAGTTCAGCGATCCTACTACATCTACTTGCCATTAGAAGTGGCCCTCTACAGCATCAGCCAATATGCTTTGCTTGTCGGAATGGAGATAAATGCCTGTGGGACCATTCAGCCCAAGCATGAATTTACGGCTGCCCTACCTTCCGCCAACGAAAAGACAGTCTCCCAAGTTGATTCAATTCAAATAGGTGGGTAACACACAAGCGAAGAGAGAAACCGTTAACTGTTCTGGCAGCACTAAAATAAGCAGGAGAACAAATCCCTAAGCGTGATATCGGGAATCAGCTTCAGTAGGAAGCTTCACGTATCCGACCCCGTCGAGGTAACGACCATCGCACATTTGCAGCGTTCGTCCACTGGTGTCTATGATGTAATTCCGAAGTGCGATTATCTGGTGAGCACCTCAGGTAAAAAATCGTTCAGTTGTAACACCCTTCCGGTGCCTAGCTGCCATGCCACGAGGGCTGGGATACCGGCAGGTTGCTCAAGCCTAGACAGGGGAAGTCGAGAGGCAGAGGTCGGGTTCGAACCACGGACCTTTTCGGTCAGAAATTCGCGCTCTAACCACTTCAGCCATCATTGCAACCAAACCACCCACCTATCGGAATCAGCGACACCTTAAATGGTTTTGACACATACTGTCTAAACCCGATAACGAACTAAACAAACTTTCATTGTCAGCACCATCTCGCGCAGGAAGACGCTGACGTCCTAAGGCTGGGCGAAAATTGGATATCCGCCGTCGAGGGTGACTTCAGTCCTACAGCTGTCTATGTAACGCGCCAGTGGAATCGGGACAGGCTGACTCTGGGCTGTCGTTGATCATCTTTTTTAAGCAGAAACAATCCGGGACATCACCGGAGATCATTCACCCTCTGGCAGCAGGCAGTCTCAATGAAGATAAGCAAACAGCAGATAATCAGCTAGGATGAGTAGCCTAATGACCTGGTCGTGTTGGTTATTAGAGCCGTCAACCGTCTACCGTATCGTCTGTTGAATGTGAGAATACAGGAAACCACCCGCGGAGTTAGGCGTTCATTACCCGACTATTTATATGAGGGGAGTAACTAGTCAGACAAGTTCTTTATCTCTTTGTAGTTTCATATGGTGGCCACGCTTGCATCCTGGGCATATTCATTGATATATTCTTTTCATATTTGTTTACTGGCCGGAAGGTCCGCGGTTCAAACCCGACCTCTGTCTCTCGACTTTACCTGTCTAGGCTTGGGAAACCTGGCAGTATCCCAGCCCCCGTGCTTCCTTCAGGTGGCATGGCAGCCAGAAACCGAAAGGGTGTTGCAGGTGAACGATTTTTTCGATTTTTTGTGTTAATGTTAGGGAGAGAAAATGCAAGGTCTCATTCCTCTGCCCATTTCGGAACCATGATGGTATTTACCCGTATCAACGTACAGATAACCTGAATTCAGACCGAAGAAACAGGTAGATAATCAGATACGTTTTGAGAAGTGGTTATTCCCGAAGGAGAAACGAAAGGCGACATCCATAGAATAGTACTTGAGCTGCTTCCGGTTTCTACCTTCAATTACGAAATGACGATTGATGGAGGACTTATCAGACGTTTTCAAGCTAGCCAGACTATAACTGACTTACCGATAAAACCGACTGGTTCCCAGTTGTCCCACAGGCCTGGGTGGTCGACCAGTCAATCCCAAACTCTGGCTGCAGCCCATGAACTTTCCCACGCGAACCAACTGATCCGGAGGCCAAATCTGAAAGCGAACAAGATTGTTGAAACATAGGGAAGAATGAGCTACTCAGTATTTACACAACGACCTCTCCGAATTTCCAGTGAAAGGCAAAGTATGGCACGCAAAACATCAGCTTGTTGAAAAACAGGTGAGGATGTAATCCTGGACAATGATACAGATGGAAATGTACTGTTCACAAAGTTAGTTGAAGTGACGATCACGTGGAGGCTCCATAAATTTGCGGGTTAAAAAACGGGTTCTAACAACTACAGTCCGGTTATATGACAACAGGCTGGTAGTTGTGGTTCCAGCTGTAAGCAATCGAACTTTGCGTAAAGTGCACGGTGTGAGTGAGTCCATCAAAGGTAAAACCGCTGGACAGAAAATTTTGGTGCAATATAAAATTGGTAGGCAAATTTTCATACCAGAAGCAGACATAGCACAGCGATGCAATCGGTAGACATCACATTCAACTCTAAGATCACGAATGAGGAAGCCTCCACACTCTTCTCCCTTATGAACGGAGAGACCCCACGTAACTGGGTTGAAATATCAACCGGATACGAAATAAAACGAGAGTGGATTACCCGATAAGTGACAGATCTCGACCAAACAATTTAGTTGAAATGAAGGAGGTAGACTATGGGAGAAGGTTACCTGGATCGGCTCCACTTGCATTGGAGTTTGTGTGATTATGCCATAGGTAGCCAGAATTTGTTGAAGTCGGGCGGATTCAGAAATTAGTACCACTTGAATCGTCAGGTTCAAAGGTTTGTCCTGAAAGCAGACATACGGGAGGCCAAAAGAGCTTTAGTGAGATACTAGAAGGGTGGGGTAGCGCAACAGCACTAAACAAAGATTCAAACAGGACGAAGTGGTTTAGAAAAATAAACTGTGGAGAACGGAACAACGTAATCATGGATCTAAAAAGATGTTTTGAGGGTCACGTGTGGATATGGTGCTCACAGGATGTCCATTGCTCATTTAGGAGGGGGTAACTATCAAGGCTTATCGGCAATTCAGTATAGTATCAAGAGATTCTCTTGATATGGACTTGAAAAATGAACTCAAAGGTCCACTCGTGGAGGACAGAAGTGTTAATTCTGTTAATGAAGTCTCTATGTCGAGCCAATCATACACGGTAAACGAAGCAGTTGGTAATGCGATTCAGGATAGGGCCAACGAAGACGAGTTGTGTCTTGCGGAACCCATTTAAGACTGTGCAATGAATTTGTAGAGTGGTCCATTGAAGATCGGAGTCGGCTAGCCTCGATCTAGTTCCAGATGAGTCTTGCTGTCGTCCTGGATGAAGCATTCACGTGAGGCCTCCAGAGTATATTTCCATGGAAAAGTCCTTGTTCAAAAATCGAACCATTTAGGTGAGGCCTCCAGAGTATATTTCCATGGAAAAGTCCTTGTTCAAAAACCGAACCCTGGGCATTTTATACATCTGCTGTAATGATTCATCCCACCAATTGGGACTCTAGGAACATTTAAGTACATCTCAGAGTCGATGTCCACAAAAGCAAACTATACAACATTTAAGCTCACGCTGACAGGTATACTGAAGAAAAAATATAGTGTTCCCGACCAAAACACCCGTCTTCCGATAACACATGTCGTGATTTCACAACCACAAGCGATATTAAAAGCGAATATCTAACCACCACCCAATGAACTTGAGCTAACAAGTTAGTAGATTTCTCTGGGTGTTAGTAAAGATTCGGACAACTTACCACCAAGATAGAAGACGAATGAGGTAGAGCACCAAGCTTACTGCTCCAGGCTGGGCACCGTCCTAGTGGATCCAAGTCGCTTGGAGTCAAACAGCCGTGAACTGCAGACGTAAAAAAAACGCAAATAACCAAAAGCTTTCGACATTTCTCCCCGGTAGAATTGCTGGGGAAAGATTAGGCATCAAACAACAGACCCAAGAATCAGGTGGAGAATAAGTCCCTGTGATCCAAGCGACCATTTAAAAGCATGCAGTAAACGCTGTTTAAACAAAAGTAACCCAATTGCACTGTTGCATGAAAGCATAAGTTTGTCTACGGATAAGATGCAGTCGGTTTCAAAAAACATGAGACGTTTCTACTCTGTAGCTGTTCAACAGATGGGTGTAGGGTCGACGATCGCTCATAAATGGTTGGATTGTACAGTAGCCTACACAAGTGATTGGGACAAGTATCGCAATTGTAATGTAAAAGTAGAAACGCAAGAGAGAAAGTGCCACAAAGGAAACGGACTGAACAGCTTACTCAGGAGCTGCGAAATTATGTAGACCGACTGGCCCCACAAGAAGAAAGACTCTCCGGGAAAGCGGAAACTGCTTTTGCGTACGACCGAGCCTCGGGCTTTTCGCTCCCTCTCCAGGTCATCCAAAGGTACGTAGAAAAATTTTGGAAGCCATGGAACTGAAACGAGGTGGAAAATGAGAGTTAGAGGGCCAAGTACTCATGAGATGGAAATAATCATACACTTGTCCAACTTTCAATCGAAGTGCAAGATTCCACGTGGGGAAGCGATAACGACATCGCGGATGAAACTCGCGAAGCTCCAACGGTTGTAAATGAGGATTGATGCAACATCAAGACTGTGTGACATGTGCGCGTGGCCTGCGCATCAAATACTTACCTGTTGCGACGTCCTGAGAATGACCAGTGCGTACGGTACACAACCATACTACTCTACTATTTGAAGTCACTGATTTTCGTCTAGTCAGGTCTCATACCACCGTACCTCTGAACTCTAGCGTCAGTCAATGCCACAAGTTGAAGTGTAATTTATGATAATAACGTTTATTATGTTTATATTAATAGTCTGATAATTAATTCATACTACCCTTGAAGCTTACTGAATCCAATCAGCTTTACCATTTCCAAATTTACCGAACGATGACATGAAGCTTTAAATAAGCTAGTTCAAAAATGGGGATCACTCATCTAGTCAGTGGATTGCTCAGAATAATAATAATAATAATAATAATACTCGTTCAGCTGTATCACCCTTTCGTTGCCAAAACTGCCATACCACCCAAAGGTTTCACGAGGGCTGCGATACTGCCAAGCTGCCCAAGCCTAGACAGTGGAAGTCGAGAGGCAGAGGTCGGGGTCGACCTTCCGGTCAGTAAATTTGCGCTCAAACCACTTGGGCCATCTCACCTTCAGTGCCCAGTATCTCGTTAGTCGTTTGACACGTGGGTCACCAAGAAGGTATAAAACACTCGAAAACCGTTTTTCCCACTTATTTTTTGTAACGATCTTGTCCAGCGGATATTCCAGAAGTATAAGACCATATTGGTCGAAGGTATCATTGCCTGCCATCTAACTGTAATGTAATGTAATGCGGAAATCTACCTCCGGGCCTCCAGTCCAAAGTAGCCACACTTCGTACCTTAGTGGCTGCATCGCCACCATCAGAAGATGAAATAATTTCAACAACGCTAGTAAGATAAGTGCTTTCGGTTGCGGCCACTAGGACAATTCTGAGTGTTTCATTTGTGCGTATATGAGAATGAGCAACTACAAGTTGAATGGGTAGAAACTGGTATACAATAACCGGGTGACCGAACAAAAGCAGCTGTCGTGGCAACGTTGGTGGCCGTTCACAGTTTTGCTTTTCAGTGATCCAAGAAAGTTCTGTATTCGGCTGGCCTCCCGTTCATGGAGGCAACTAAGTGACACTATGAGAATAGGGCTTTTGTGGTGAAGAATTTCGGTTATTTGAGCTCAAGGCAACTCTGCGGTTAGGAAACTACTGGGCCGGTAGACTAGTTGTTCGAATCCCACGCTTGATTTTCAATCGCTTGGGCAACCTGGCAGTATCTCAGCCTTCGTGTCTCCCTTGGGGGTAACGCAGAATCTATGCGCTAGATCGACGCCAGAGCTGAACAATTATTATTTTCGCTGCTTACTTCCGCAGTATTTCGTCCTTAGATGGAATAATCAAAAATTCATTCAGCTGTGGCACCCTTTCGGTGGTTAACTGCCATGTCACCCGAAGGAAGCACGAGGGCTTGTGTACTGCCAGGTTGCCCAAGTTAAAACGGGGTAAGTCGAGAAGCAAAGGTCGGGTTCGAATTATGGACCTTTCGGTCAGTAAATTTGCGCTCTTACCACTGAGCCATCTCGCCCAGTGAAATATTACTAGAAAAAATAGTATTCCAGGATGCCATAAATATACACAACCTCGTGAAAACGATGATAACTTACATCTTTCAGGCACTGGATGAACCAAAAGTGGCTGGATCAAACGATCGTATTCCATCGCCTTTTCCAATTCACCGTTCATACAGTCTACAAAAAACATGGTTACAAGTGAGCGAATCCACAAGCGAACTACAGGGGAATATAGCTATCATGTCTGGGCAAGACGTTCAGTCTGTGGTTTGGACAAAAAGCCCCTTATTCGGACCCGAAATAGTGTCACAGGGTTCACTAAAAAATCGGTTGGGTGTGGTCAAATCAAATGTTGGTCTGTAGTCCCTTTACATGGTCTGCCACCGCAAGGAACACTGCGTTGTAACCTACGCGGGTCAAGCTGTCAGTCGCCGGATGTAGAAAGCAGCCACGCACGATAGGCATCCTCATGTAGGATTCAAGTAAAGAAACGCGAAAACGTAACGAAATAGATCAGGATGTGGCCGAAATAGTTGAGAATAACCACATTTTAGGGATGAGCGTTCTGAACTGATAGGGGCTTTGTAGCGTGTAACTCACGTTCAATCGCCATGTACGCGAAGAACATTGGCCATTCGCTCTCGATTCCGGTGAACTTCTGAATAGAAAAGATGGCGCGAGAATCAGCTACAAGACACTTGATCATGAAGGTCACTACTAACGAATCTTAGTCAGCGAAAACCTGAAACCATGATTGGAATGCTCATGTTACACCTCAACAAGCTAACCTACACGTATCTCATGAAGTATGAATATATCCATTGTATCGTTCTCAGTGTGTTTCGAACACAATGGATGAGGAATCTGTGACTTCGAACTGCGGACTGATGGGATTTCACTGGCATCACCGGAGTTGGAAAAGAGAAAAGTTGCTGGGCATAAGAGTCTGAGAAATGGTAACACATTAAAAAGAAGGTCCGATATATTCTACCAAACAAACGAAATTGAGAACATACACAAACAGATGAACGGACCAGAAGTAACACGCTCCTCATGAAGTTGCTGAAAAATCTTGTCGAATTCCATCCAACTTGGGTTCGAGTAGGACATAAGGTTAGGGGAAACTAGGGGAATATGCCTTCTTTATGAGCCCCAAGAAGGGCGAAACCGGTCATGGGCTGTCGAAGAGATTTTAGCCACCTTGTGTTAAGTTTAGACATTGCACTGCGATATATCGAATTTCATAGCAAGTGAAACATGATGCGGCCCGGTGAAGCATAAGGAATTTAGTCATACCGTCACAAAAACAGGCAATTCAGCTGAGATTCTTGTCAAAACCAAAGTTGTGTGCAAATCAGAGTATGTGTGGAATAAATGGAATGAGTTTACAAGAATATTTAGGCAGAAAACACAGATCGTCTCTATTCCTACGGATACTTCAATTTCATACAGACCGTTTTGTGGAATAATATAGGGCAGCCTTCATAGCTAGCTATCACAATGTTCACAAACACGTAGGATGCCAACATGGTGAATGGCGCTCCGAGATAGCCGTTGAAAACTCATGAGCCTGCACGTGTGTACGTCACAGTACAACGAGCGGTAATCTTATCAATCCTATCTGCCGTGGAGCGTCTGAAGAGTAAGCCGCACAAAATCGGGAGTCTTAATAGAAAATCAGCGGTTCCGAAGTTCCAAACGGCAGTTTATAGGTTGAAATTATTATTTTTTTAAAGACTTCAATATTCAATCATCGGCCAAACTGAGACACTGGGAAAGCACGAACCATTAGTTCTCCGGGTTGATAGTGAGTGTTCTGGTCAAGCACTGTCGCATATCCATCTCTGTTGAACCGACGAAAGCCGTACTGACCTTTCAGACGGAGGAGACAACGTTCTAGTGCAGGCCCAGAAGGCTCAGTTTTTGAGGCCCCGTAGGCAGGCCAGCAGAGCGCTGGCAGCAGAGATACATCACTACCCTGAAAAGGGAACCAGAAGTGGTGCACTTATAGCAACAACAAGTATTTAATGTCAGTAAAAGTTAACCGGAGATATGGGACACGTCAGTAAAGAATGGGAGCCAAAATATACCTGAACGGTGAGTGGTGAGTAAGGACGGGTAACCAGCGAGAGGTCTCCCACTACGTTGCTTGCACCTGAGAAACCACTCAGAACCCTTCGAAAGGGCAGTAAAAACCAGTAATGAGCGGATGAGCAACTCAAAGTAGATGCGAATGGGAGGCCATAAACAGCAGGGCAATTAAAGTAAACTATAACGGTGCATGTGAGATTAGAGTTATCGTACACAACCTTATCGCGGTCTGCTTTCAACTAAAACTCAAAAGATGTGAAAAAATTAACAAGCTACCGGTAAGTAAGAAGCGCCATCAAGCACACTAGTTAAGAGTGTTCAAGTGGAACTAGAGTTCATACCCATAATGGGGCCTCACAATCGTTTCTTTGGATGTCATTGAATGACTAAAGCTTGTAGTTTTATGAACTCCTGTGAATTACACCAAACAAATCCAAGTGTGAGATCCACAAGAGTTTTCTGAAGGCTTGGCTAAATGGTCTTAATCCAAAAGAGTTCCCCGTAACCTTCGATCTTGGAGCACACGTTCCAGCAAAAACTACATTGCTCATAGTCACACCACTCTCGTTTGAACGGTTGTGTTCCTGTTCTGGCGTACTTATTCCGCTGAGTCCACACCAAAGGGGAGCACTAGACTCGAGGTGCGCTCTTCAGCAGTGCATATTCAATGGCCGTTGCGGGATTAGAACCCCGGATATATGACATGCGAGGTGAGCGTGTAATCACTCCTCCACCAACGCACGTTGGACACATCTGAGTTTTCACGTCTGAACAGGCGAAAGTTTTCACACTTGAGCGATGTGATTGGTGTGTCCGAACGACGACCCATGAACTGTCCTGGTTGTGACAATCGATTGGCCCGCTAGTCAGAACCTCCCAGACACAAGCTTGAAACCCACTGGGCAACCTTTTGGTCGCAATTTTGGGGTTTTGCGAGATATGGACTTTGTTCACAGTCACACCACTCTCGCTTGAATGGTCGTGTTCCTGTTCTAGCGTAACTATATTGTCGCTGAAATGTACACATAACTTTGGAAAATGTAACTTCACATGGGCCACCGCTTGTCCCCATATTAAAATTGTTTGAAATGTTCATCACGCAGCTGAAAATAACCTGATCTTGGAAATAAAACAATTACCTTGGTTCTATTTCACACAGAAGACCGAAAGATTACGGATCAATACTTTGGAGACTGGTTTCAGACATGTATAAAACCAGATATACAATGACTGGTGGGGGTATACAGCCGGGATGCTTGATAAACATGACGTGATTAGCGAATATACACTCATCTGCAAACTAATTTGGGTCTTTCGCCCTTCTTGGGGCGAAACCGGTCGTGGGCTGTCGATGGATTTTCAGCAACCCCTGAGAACATCATAAACGAGAGATTCAGCTGGGTTCCAGGTGAGTCTCTCGAAAGAACAAAATTAGTTTGCAGATGAGTGTATATTCGCTAATCTCGTGCAATTTGGTTTTAAGCAGAACATAGGGTTGACGGAAACCCGGGGACTGCGCCTACCTGATGAGCCCCAAGGAGGGCGAAACCGGTCGTGGGCTGTCGATGGATTTTCAGCAACCTTAATGGGTAGTAATTACAAATATAAACATGACGTGCTTCATTCAGGTGGCATGGCAGGTAGGCGCCGGAAGGGTTTGAGAGATGAACGACTATTGTTTGCAAAACATAGCGTGTAAACATCAATGGTGCAAATTGTTCGTTGAGTTCAGTGACGAATTTATGTATGCAACCCTTGAACACTGCGCGATAAGTCAGATGTGGCACCCAGCTGAGTGATAACACGGGTGACCAAACTGTTTCAAGTTAGAGACAAAAAACAGACGGTGGTACACACGAACATAGGTTTAAGAACCGACAAGATAACTAACAGGCTGTAATGCACCTTCCTACCTGCACTACTTTGAAAAAAACGATAATAACGAGCCCTATGGAGCACTGTCACCCACTTTTGATGCTGATTCTCTAGGTAGCAGGTTTGTCATGATTATCCGATTTCTGCTATGGGCATCAATGTCCATCAGAAGTGTGGATGAATGACTACCTTCGGCGCCGTAGACATTGAGACCGGAAACGGACTCCAACGCAGCCTTGGCCATCCCGATTGAACTGAAAATCAAAACGGCATTGTTTAAGCCGAAATTCGCGAAAAATTGTAGAACAAGAAAAAATGAGCGGCATAATCCTACGCTAACAAGTTCAACTAAACCATACCAAGATGATCTCTACACGAACACGGATGACACACCAGCTTAGTACCGGTTCGTAGAAGCAGTGCGACCTTTTTTCCGAACGAAACGTACAAGTGGACATGGGTGATAGCCTTCTGAGGTGGTCCAGTGTCTGTGAAGGTACAGCTACTCATTTTTACCACAATTAATAGGGTTTGAGCTGCTCTTAAAATGAGCACACAAAGGAATGCATCCTCACCATGAAGGATATTTTTCGAAGGCCACTGTGTCGAAACCCATTGGCCATGATGTGCCACTGCACTCGGTGGAGGCATGTGGTCAAATCAACTCAAAAAAGAAGCGAACAACACCTCAAGGGAGGTTTTCGTAGCCGTTTCCGTTTTTTGAACAGCCCTTCGCCATAAGTGCCAGACGCGTTGTGTCACCTGAGTGGATAAACGTCACGGGATGAGCGAACACTTTTTGTCCTTAAAGTCATTCCCCTTCCTAAAAACCCTCACTGCAAGCAAACAAACTGGTGACATGCAAAGGTTAGGGCAATCGGACCTCCACATCACCGAAACTAATGGGCGTTAGCTGGGTGTTGATTTAGGACAGCCACCGTCAAGAAAAGCAGTGCGAAAAACAACAGCTTACTGCAGTTAAGATGCTTGTCTGACTGGCCATGCATTCATGTTCACCCGCGGGCACATGGCAAGCGACATTAAGTCATCGAACTACCAGCTGTTCATGTTGCGGTCCCCGGGCGAGATGGCCCAAGTGGTTAGAGCGCGAATTTACTGGCCGGAATGTCCGTGGTTCGAATCCGACCTCTGTCTCTCGACTTCGCTTGGGCAACCTGACAGTATCCCAGCCCTCGTGCCTCCTATGGGTGGCATGACAGTTAGGTGCTACAGCTGAACGTTGCGGTCCCCAAATATTTTCTCGATTTTCCCTTGATCAACAGCTGAAAAAGGTTTAATCCACCTGCTTAACACCTCCTTATCTATCTGATCACTCTATCACATTCTGTCTCTGCAACTGTATCCAGCCGGATCCGGTATAACTATGACTGTAAGTAAGCAGTTCACAGTGACATAGCTCCAATAACACACTCCACAACAATGACGTAGATAGGTATTTGGGTGTGTCCTTGTCATAATAGGGAGACGTGAACTGTTTGGTTGATATGAACGGTTCCGGTGCGCCAGACCAGGCGATATAAGCCGTCTTTCGATAATATGAAGCAGAAATGGTGGGAGTGAAATTACAACCCACAATGACATGCAGCTGATGAATGCTAGATACGGACATGATCCCATTGTAGACTTGAAAGAGAAGTCCGGTATCGCATCATAGATGACCGAGAGTACGGAGACATGAGAGAATGTCGAGTATGCACGGAGGTAAGCATAGTGTTGAAACTCGTCCGGGACAACGTACCTTCAGCTTTGTTGGAAGAGTGCCCAATACACATATGCCGACTTTGTCTGAAGTTCGCTTCTATATAGTTTGCACGTTTATTTAAAACAAAAAAAAACTTTGAGAATTGAAAATGGATCATCATAAAGTTTTGGTCCTCCACCAGAGGAACCTAGAGATACGATTGTGTTTACAGTGCGGCAGGGGTTAAATATTCCACATACAAATATCCTGACCATAGGGGGGAGCTGTAGCGTAGCATAACGTCAAAAATAAGCCAGTGGTTGTGTACATCCAAAGTTACTCAATTCGACTGCAAGATCATCTAGCAGATCTACGTAGACTTTGGCCAAAAACAACTCGAGCAATGCGTGATGAGGCTTCTCCAGTTTGAGCTATAATGACCAGTGCGGGCGCTTACTCACTTTTCGGCATCGTATCTCGTTATTCGAACATGTTCAACCAACTAAACATTAAGACATCTGACTGAAGATAGCGAAGTCTTCTTTCGTATGCACTGACAGGATTTTAACCATCTTCTTCAGTAGTGCACTCGGAAGTTTTCGATAACTCATAGCGTATGATGCGTAGGTCTTGCGACCACCGGAAGTAGTACGTACCTATCAAGAAAACGATTCCAATAATCCAGTGATAAAGCGACTGCACCTCAATATAACGACTAAGAAGAAACATATTGCACGGGCTTGTTTCACAAAAATAGCTGAACCTGGTCCCAGAGAATTCAGATTACAGCCAAGGTTTGTCGTCAGAATTATTCTACTCCATTATAGATTAAACAGTAAAGTTCATATCACATGAAGTCACGTAGGCCAGAACACGGGGAATGCAAACCCAAGTATCTCATGTGTCAACTAAAACACGTGTAACATATTGATCGGATATTCCAAGACAAATCGTCCAGCTGCAACACCCTTCCAGTGCCTAGCTGCCATGCTAGCCGAAGGAAGCACGATGACTGGGATGCTGCCAGGTCGCCCAAGCCTAGACAGGGGAAGTCGTGAGGCAGAGGTCGTGTTCGAACCACGGACCTTCCTGTCAATAAATATGCGCTCTAATACTTGAGCCATCTCGCCATTCCAAGACAGGACGAAATCCATTGATAGATCAAATGACGATCACTCTTGAAGTTTATATTCTAGTTGTTCGGTGGAGTATCTTTATCGTTGATTTAACCCTTTTGTGTGCTTTGGGCGTTCGATCCACAGAGTATATGTTTCGCTTCCCAGTCCAGTTTGCACAGTTGCAGAACTAGTGAGCTCCGAAGTCCCCTAGTCATTTCTGAACATGAGGATTGTCGGAGTATCAGTTCAGTAACCATTGGTTCCTCACAAGTACCATCCTAAGAAGGCTCGCTAGCATTTATGAGCGGGGGTCATGAAAACCAAGCTGGGTTCTTTCCGGGTTGTGGATGCATTAACCACATCTGTACGTTTTTGTCTCCTAGAAAATCGCCATACATACGAAAGGCCAACGGATGAGATCTTCCTGGATCTAAAAACAGCGTTCGACTTAGTCGGTCACACAACTTTGTGGCGATATTCTCTATAAAAGTATGCCTCAAGTTTTTGTCATACTTCTGCAATTTATATACTCCAACACCTTGCATGAGTGAGCCTACAGAGAGTAGTCTCTACAGTTAGTCACAAAAAGAGATATCCGTCAGGGATTCCGTTTGTCATCTTTGCTCTTCAGCTTTCTAGCAGTGAAGCTTCTTCCCAACAACTTGAAAGACTCGGATGGCATCGTGTTCCGCGGTCCAGATCCCATATAGATACAAGTAAATATTATTATCATGGTTTTTGATATGCGCGTTACAGAATCAAAGTGCAAACTGTTAAATCAAGATCAAGGCCAAGCCTACACCATCCGCTGTCACAAGCTGCGGTGCCCCGGACTGCATATGTTTCAAGGTTGCCAAACGGAACTCGTTTTGTTTGATTTCACGGTTGATAGTGTTTGATTAAGTCTTTGAGAATAGTATTTCGTTACAGACGCCAAATAAACAATCTAAAAACATAAGATTATTGACGACGACGTCATAGCACACAAGCAAGACCACGCCGGTGGTTGAGTGGCGTAAATTCTCCGTTTAAATGGATCTAGTGGCCCGAAGTACAGCACATTAGGTGATCATTCACAGGAGTGATCATGAACGAGGTGAACGACAGACTACAGAGGACCTACCTGGCATTTAACTCTACCATGTTTCGGTTCTGTTTGGTTCCGCGTTCCCACATACCGTAGTCTGGGATCCGATAGGCACGCTCCAGATAGAAGACGAGATTTTGCATGAAAGCGACTTCATCTCTGGTGTATACAACCTTAAGTGAATAAAAGCACGATGGGCTGAGTCACAGCTGTGTTGTGACACGGGAAATTTTCAACATACAGTGTGTACTAGTGGGCATGCAAGTAGTGTAAAACTGCGTCGACGTCACGGGAACGTCCCTGTTGACTTCCAGCTCTAAGGGAACAGTAATTAAGGTTACACCACGAAGCATTTCCATTTAGATGGCGGACGGAAAGCGCCACAACACTGGTAAACAGCAAAGTTAAGTACGAAAGTGGACGGAAACATTTCCATTTAGATAGCGGACGGAAAGCGGCACAACACTGATAAACAGCAAAGTTAAGTACGAAAGTGGACACTTTGAGCAGTTGACCAACAAATGGGAACGCAAAGCTACTTTGTCATACGGTAATCCCTCAACGAGCTTTCGAACGGATTTAGCAACTTCAGAAGAACCATTTTTCTGATGGACACTGCACTGAAAGCTGGGGGTTAAACATATTTCAAACAACTCACTTTCATCAAGGGCTAATCCGTTAACAAAAACAAATACCGTGAACAGAGGTGTTATAGCCAACTTAACAGATTTGTCAAGTCAACGATCTGTGCTCCCGTCATCAAAGTACTCTCCACAGTCACCCATCTGACTTCGTCGTAAAAATACTGAACGCTCGCATTTTCGTGACTTTCACATGAGCCATCTTAACATCATTCAAATTTTCTTCTAGGGAAACAAAGACGATTTGCCAACAGGCTCACGTACAGCGTCTTGAAAGGTGGGTGGAACTGGGCAGCTACTGTGGGACAGCTAGTTTCTTTTCCAGGGAAAGTGTTGATTTCAAATCAGGTGGTGTCACACTGACTGCCAATCGCTCGCGAATGGAGAACACACTGCAGACATCTAGTCAGAGGTCTACATCATGCTGCTTCTCTTTTAGCTGATGTCACTCAACAGCTAAAGCAGTTGTGGCTCCAATCATAACTTTTATCCACCCAAACCCTACTGCATTATTCCAATCCGGTTCCTCCGAACTTTTTCAACCCTATCAGGGGCCACTGTGACCGAGGAGATTAATAGTGCATGGGTCATATAGAAGTATGAACCGCCTTGTTGTCATGGCCGGTTATAGTGTCTGAAGATGGGTCGTTGTGAGCTAATTAAGTTGGCATAAGCTGCAATATGATCCCTGAATTCAACGAAAAATGCTGATGCCATTAGTTGATGAATTCTGGATCGCGAAAGCAATCCTATTTCAACCCCGAAAATACCCCCCTGAACAAATAACACAGAATGGATGCTTTAATCGTATGGGAACAGAACAGATTGTGTGAAGAACAGCTGCTAGTACTGATCCCGACCTAAAGCTGCCACCTTGACGTGGTGGTCGGGCTTCAGTGCTGCAATGATCCCGTGGGCTACACTGGTGGCTGTTTCACTAGAAGAAATATGTCAATCCCTATCTTCACCTCCCTTTCATTCACTGAATTGGAATTTTTTTGACAATTGAAAAAAAGGTCGTTATAAGGACCGTACATGAGGGTATTCACGGAGGGTCGTTGTACCACTCGTCCTAGTTCAAATTTCTCTGACCATTAAACCTATAAGCCGACAGAGAACACAGAAATATGGCAGACTGGCGGATTTTCAGGATAAGTTGTAACACAGGATGGCTCAAAGCGTGGTAATCTGGAACGGAGAGTTCAACTTACCTGCAAACCAGAGGCAATCATTTGTGCCAACTGAATGACATATAAACCCACGCAATCCATTTGCAGGTTTTTATATTCCGGGTCAACGATCGGCTCCCCTGTTTCATAGTCCAAACGGGAACTAAGACAAGTTTCCGAACTCTGCGTTTTTTTGAACTGCTCTAGCTGAAAGTGCAAAAGTAAGATGTAAGAAAAGTATGCCTTCATCCTGTTCTATGGGAAAATCCAGATAATTGAGTCTGGATTATGCTCTACATTATTTTTGACCACAATTCCATTACGATCCTGGTAAGCACAATGTTGAAACAGACATTACACCACCCAGTAGATGTATTTAATCCACCGTTTTCTATTTGAGTTATGCAACTCATTTTCATGTCAATTAACTCGACGACTTTTTCCAATTCCATTTAGTAAAACTTTGAATAAAGGTCTTGGTCATCATTGCACTTGGACAAAAAACAGCTTCAAAATCGTTCAGCTGTAGCACCCTTTCGGTGCCTAACTGCCATGCTACCCGAAGGTTACAAGAGGGCTGGGACACTGCCAGACTGCCCAAGCCTAGACAGAAGTCGAGAAGCAGAGGTCGGGTTTGAACCACAGACCCCACGGTTAGTGAATTTGCCCTCTAACCACTTGAGCCATCTCGTCTCCCCCAACAGCTTCAACACTGGTATGTAATGCTTAGAGGTAAACTGGAGATCATGGATGTCTCAGAGTAATAGATAAATTAGCCTGTATGAGTCATTCGCTGTATACCAAACCGCGCTTCCATCATTCTTCGTCATACACTTGAGCTATTCTCCCAATGATAACCTTTAGGAAACGCTCATTTCTGTGCAAGCTCAGTAATCAGTTCTGCTGGTTGACAGCCGCCACTAATGGGGAGAGCAAGAAATATGGATGTACTTTAAAGTTGCATGAGGCTACGAATGTACCATTTGTTTCCCCGCCAAGAAACTCAACAATTTGTCTGGAAATCTGGGTCAATCGTAATGTGATTGTGAGTAACCCATTTCTTCTACACGTTGACCTTAGAGTACGAGAAAAGCGCATGTCTACGCTGCACACGTTTTCGTTCTCATAAATATGGTTGGTATAATTTCAGTCAATAAACTAGCTTGGCCAAACTCAAAGCAGAACTATAAAACAGGCACTGTCTACACAGAGAACTGGAAATAGGCAAGCAGCGAACGACCGATAGTTATTTTAGTTGAAAATTTCTATGACATCTGAAATATTGATTTTCAGTCGAGCTTGTCGGGCGCCCTGCCTGTGAAAGTTTTTGCATTGTCGTTAAACCTTCTGTAATTTCTTTTTTAAATCAGAAAGAAACACGACGACTCCATGACACATTTCCATTCGTGACCTCGAGTCACTTGCAATCATGGTCGTGATGCAGCCTACACTAATGTGGTTCTGGGTTCAAAGACGGGCTTGGTTTCTGACGTTTCATTATGTGACATCGTCAGTGCACTGACGATGTCACCTCCATTGGTGACGAAACGTTTGCAATCCAACTGCCAAACTTGGCGAACAGACCAACAACCAAACAGCGCACCCGAGCTACCTACATTCCACAACATTGCTAATCTAACTACTCTTTCGTCTAGGCTTGGGTAACCTGGCATTATCCAAGACCACGTGCTTCCTTTGAGTGGCATGGCAGCTTGGCACCAAAGGGGTGCTATAGCTGAACGATTTAGTTATTTACTGTTAAATGACACATGTGTGGTAAACACGTCTATTCCGGAGAGAACAGACTGTTCTTTGGACAACTTATCTCTTGTAGGTTCTGAATAGGTGATTGCTCTTTCTTCTCGAGAGCTCACATTTCTTGGAAGCATGCTCTCGGAAGGCAGCAACATAAGCATCGCTGTCTCGCATCGCATCTAGCGTTCCTAATCCACGGAGTCAGAACGATAAAGTTTGTCGTCTAAAGCTTTTATACTCTATAGGAAAGATAGCTCAACAACTTACGGACCAACTCTACCCGGCGCGTCGTTGAATGTTTCTTTGAGGAGGCTTACTAGTTTAAAAGATGCGACCAAGCCAGAGATCACTATGACTTCACGCAGTTACTTGTAGGCGAAACCGACTAGGTACAGAACACTTAACTGGTTGGTCTAAAACCCTCGATTCTGTTCAGCGGCGAACCTTTGAATGTGATAGGCGATACTAGGTGGAAGGGTTATCTGAATCCAACTGCTGTGATGACGACTGTTGAGAAGGCTAAAGAATACATTCACCGATAAAAGCTGAGCGATGTCAGACATAGAACTGCAGCGCATCATAAAACGATGTCTTCAAAATGGGACACCACTATGTAGGTAGGTGAAGTAACAAGTACCCACAAAATCGGCGCGTCCTGATAGAGGAAACGGCTGAAGTGCAAATAGCTACTATGTAGTCTCTAATAAACGTACGAAAAGGAGCTACCAAGAGGCTTACTCGGGAAGACTGTTGCATCCATCCAATCAGGATACCTCGCATGCATTTTACAGCGCACTGACCAAGTTCGTAATGTCTACCGGCATCGTCATCCACACGCCTTGAACCAGAGAGATAAGGAAGGGTAATGTTATAAAGACCGATCGTAGAAGGATTTGTGTAATTGAAAACCTACCGCTATAGATAATGATGAGAATAGACGAAAAATTAAATAGTGTCCAAATGCACGAAACTCGCTAACCATGAGGCTCAGGTTCAGCTTGGGCTATTGCTGCGTGGAGGCCCAAACAATCAGTCGATAAACCCATTGCTTTGGCGATCAACGTCAATTTCCATTAGTTCAACTATTACATCCGTCTTCGACGTCCCCGAATAATCGCATCTTCTTCCCTCCAGGGTAGAGTGCACTTCATTTGGAACCATAAAAAACAGCAGACGAACGGCCATAACGAACGACAGTTACGATTAACTACTCTGCGTCGTTCAGTACTAATGGTGAGCGCATCATTCCAGAATCTTGCAGAGAAAAGTATGGCATAAAACAGTCAAACAGACTTACGCAAAAGCTCGATGAAGAGCCCACAAGACAGTGGCACAGTAGACCGAATCCCGAACGTGACTGAATTTGCACTGAGGGTCTTTCGGGTTTAAAGGGAAGAGGCCGCTGATTGGATGCTGAAATTTGAGGATTTGATCCTTCACTGTTATTACAATGGTGCGGCAAATGAGTGGGAAAAACAGAAGAATATAGTTAGAGCAGATCGAAATTGCGTTAATTTGCAAACAAACAGTATCCACATAAATCTCCATCGCGGTAAAAATTAGTAATTATATTAGTGATCATATGTAAATGGTCCTTAAGGTCTTTAGTAGTACTTTCAGCGTGCGTGGATGTGATCAACCTAATTGACAGTAGTAAACTATTAACCCATATTCAACGTCAAAGCCTATCGGAAGAAAGTAAAATCGCAATTGCTTACAAGCACCTCTATGCCTTAAGATTCACGTTGTATAGTGGAAACGTCACAGTGACATGGCTGCAATAGTGTCCAAGTCGTATGATCGTATACAAAAAGCTACACTACTTAAACATCAATTGAAGCTACTTTAACTTAGACTGCATTCGGTTGGTTGATTTCTCGCTTCACCGGATCCTAGCAGTAATTCGCTGTTCAAATGACCTATGATCTGTAATGCAATTAAGCTAACAAATGCCACTCTATTTAAATCAACGAGAGTTGAATTTGGTTATAATGCACACACGTAAATAAACTGCCTTCAAAACTGTTTGGCTATAAGTGACGTATGGCTGGCAAACAGCTGTGGAAGCCTACGCCAATGGCGCAGGCAAGAAGCTCAAACAATAAGTAATGGAAATCACCGAAAGTGCACAGTACATGCTTTTACTCACCGATAAGATAGAAATGATCAAGGTTCTTCTTAAAAAGGACTTTCTGTGGCTCTTCTGAGTTGCTGACTGTCATACTTGTGGGTTTTGGATCAAGTACGTTTCAATCGCAAGCCCAAAAATCACATAACCCACATTAATACGCTGCCTACAAGAAAAGATTTGGCTGGAGGTAGAGACAAGTAATTTGGAGGACACAATCATTTCTCCTAAAACCAAAGATTCCACTAACCCAACCTTCAAGTAACTGCACCATGAGCAACAGAAGAGTGGTGCTTGTGAGTAGCTGGAAATTTCGAGGGTTTATTAGTTTGTGACCAGCCAGTAGGCAAAGAGATGGTGTGGGTTCAAAGTTAACATTCAGATACACTTCAGTGATATAGGTATTACTGCGATTTGTTTACCCATGACTTCTGAGTATCTATGGTCACTTCGAAACCTGCCATGAATAGTATCCTATGTTGAGGGAAAGTTCTATGAAACCGAAAAGTTGTTTCCAGTTAATACACATCAAATGTTAGAAGAGTTTGGAAGGCAGCACACAGAAACGTAAGTTACGAAAATGTGAGCCGTGGCCTCAACCGACTTACTGGTAAGTTTTTCAGGTCATAGGGTATGACAGAAAGTTGCTGTGGTGAGCAAACGTGAGTTTGAATTTTCAAATCGTTTAAACATGAATGTCGTGGATAAAAGAAGTCAGCCGAATGTGCAGCATCTAACAGGATCCTCAATTATAGCAAAGCCTACTGAGCCTCCGACCTAAAGCTATCACTATGTGGCGGTTCCTTCAGGATGTCCATATTTATTGAAGCAGCTATGCTGCATTCCCCTGAAGGAAGGACCGATTAGAAGACGTCGAACCGCACACTTCAATCGCTGAACGGTTGTCCGTGGCCACTGCGGCATTGTTCAGTACGATCAATATACTTTTAAAACCAAAGAATCTAGTGCTGCTCGAAATGCACTTGCTGTGCACAACCGTACTAGGGGTCAGACATGACTTACTCTCTACGCCCCCGGACCAGAAAAGTCCCTGCATCCAAGTGGGTCAGACCATTAAGTCAATCGCTCCGGGGAAAGTCCTTCAAGAAAACCATAAAAATGCTGTCGTGCAGTTCAGACTCTTGAGTCAGAGGTTAGAGAATGATACGCCTAACAAAACTCTACCTTCACCCACTGTCTTATCGATCAGATTTGAGTCAAAAGCTCTAAGTTGATTATGTCAACCAAACCCCCTTCTTCCCCCAAAGAGTGTAAGTAGTCTTTGTTCAGTGCTTCCTCTCCACAAGTCCCTGCCCAAGTCCGTCCGACTTATTTAACTATCAATCACCTAACCATTAATAAAAGATAATCGTTCAGCTGCAGCACCCATTGGGTGCCTAGATCCCATGACACCCAAAGGAAGCACGAGGTATGGGATACTGCCAGGTTGCCCAATTCTAAACAGCGGAAGTCAAGAGGCAGAGGTGGGTTCGAACCACGTACCTTCCAGTCAGTAAATTCGCGTTCTAACCACTGAGCCATCTCGCCCCATCTAAACACTGCTTATTACTAACATTCTGCCTGTTAGAAAAATAAACACAAACCCTGTTCAAATTCAGAGAATAAACTCCACACTCTGTATCGTATTGGGCAACGGGTAACTCTTGTTCAGACACTTTTCGGACATTCGATCGACACCTTCTGTATCTCCGAAACACGCATGAAGGACCCCACTTGGGCCGTCACCTCAAACCGTTCGGAAAGAATACAAATTCCTCGCTTTACTCTTCGGGTATCTGGTGATCCTGATACGGCGGCTCTTGGTATCTATGGTGCGGGTGTTGGGCTTGGCCCCTGGGCTGAATGCGCATTGCTGAACTGGATTTCAGTAAGCAGTCATCTTGGCACTGTTAGGTCGGCCGGTTCAATAAAGATTAGTGTACCTTGACTTGGTAAACCGTGTTTATCTGTTAACATACGCCCCGACGGACGTCAGGCCTGAGGTAGAGGTTTCTGCAGAGGTTTGTCACGGTTACTCCGGTCAATAAATACAGATGTGATGATCCTTGGCGGCGGATTTGGTGTAGGAGCACCAAAATGCTATTCAGACCTTGGCCTTGATTCCCAAACGAAAACCAGACACTCAATAGATGGCGCCGTTCAAACACGAACAAACTACGGTAAGCACATGGTACAGAATTAAAACGCGATGCCATTGTTGTGTTAACAGGATATATACAGCAAACGGGAAAAACCTGCAAAAATCAGGTAGAGTCGAAAGAACCGGAAAACATAATATTTTATATGCTGATCAGGCCAAAGGTGAACATTCAGAAGTCAGCCACACAGACCCATTCTAGAAGACTGGTGGGAAGAAGCATTCGACAATATGAACAAGAAACATAGGTGAGCCGGCAAAACAAACAGAATAAAAACAGTGACAAAATGCAAGGAAGTGAAGACGAGTGTGTCTCAGTAGTGGTGATAGTATTTTTCAGGTGACTTTACTTGTCAGTAAAGTCAACCTATGCTGAAGAGCTGAGAAGTCCTATACTGCTGGCCGAAGAACTGGCTCAGAGGAAGAATGGTCTCACAAGCTGAATGAAACTTCACCTCAGAAGCAGTCACCCGAAGAGACAGTCAATACCTGACCACATGATACAGTCTCTGTGATTGAAGGATGAGCGGCGAGATATTCTGTCTTAGTTATGGATAATGTAGCGTCTGTAATCCATTGTCACGTCCGGCTCACCAGTTATGTAGCGGACTAGGACCTTATCAGCGGGTTCGGACAAATGAGTACGCATATGATCTTGCAGTCGACTGATGTATGTCGATGGTGAGAGATCTTCATTGGGTTTGGATACACATACCATATCTCCGGGAAGACGTGGCGTTTGCCCATAGACAAGTTGGGTTGGAGTGCAACCAATATCCTCTTTCACGGTATTCCGAATACCAAGTAATGTCACTGATACCGATTCGGTCCACAGTTGCGATGATGGCTTAGCCATAATGGCGGCTTTCAGTTGTCGACGAAGACGTTCGACTAAACCGTTGGGTGCAGGATGATAAGCCGTAGTTCTGAAATGATTGCATCCCAATAGGTGGTTCAGTTAACGAAACAAGGCACAGGTAAACTGACTCCCACGATCCGTAATGATGCTCTCAGGGACACGTCGACAAAGTCGACTAAACCGTTGGGTGCAGGATGATAAGCCGTAGTTCTGAAATGATTGCATCCCAATAGGTGGTTCAGTTAACGAAAGAAACAA